AGGCCATAGACTTCAAAACTCTGACCAATCCTGACTCTAGAATACTAAGGGTGAAGCATGCCTCCTGACTCTCAGGAGAGAGGGCATAGAATTAGAGCTGTAGATTTGTAAGAGATATCTGAGGCTACCTAGTTCAACACCCTCATCTTACAGATGTAAATACTAAGGCATTAAGTGACTTATCCAACCTCAAGCAGAGAGTGTCAGACATAGCCTATGTGTTGATTTGTTTTGCTTAACTGTATCTATTCATTACAGGACAAGGTTTTATTGCATGTGGAGAGTCAGTGAGAGTCATTTGTGGGAGTGATGTTAAAAAAATGAAATAAAATCTTTGTAAAAAATGCTTTAATAAGAAACTAGTAGCTTAACTAGAACAGCATGTGATAGAGTGGGAAGAACTCTATATTTGAAGTTAGAATATCTGTATTTAATTACTGGCTCTTGGAATGTCACTTCACTTTTGTAAGCCTCAGTTTCCTCATGTGTAAAATGAGAGAGGTTAGCCAATCTGTTGTTTTGAATTGTATTTCTCTAATCAATAGTGATTTAGAGCATTTTTTCATATGACTATGATGGCTTTAGTTTCTTCATCTGAGAACTGCCTGTTCATATCCTCTGACCACTTATCAATTGGGGAATGGCTGAACAAGTTGTGGTATGTGAATGTAATGGAACACTATTGCGTTATAAAATTGATGAGCAGGCGGACTCCTAGAAAAACCTAGAAAGACTTGTAGGGAGTGGTGCTGAGTAAAGTGAGCAGAACCAGGAGAACGTTGTACACAATAAGAGCCACGTTGTGTGATGACTAACTTTGATAGACTTAGCTCTTCTCAGCAATGCAAGGATCTAAGACACCTCCAAAGGCCTCATGATGGAAAATGCTATCCACTAGAGAAAGAACTGTGGAGTTGGAATACAGATCAAAGCATACTATTTGCTCTTTTTTTGTTCTGTTTTGTTTTGTTTTGTTTCTTCTTTCTTGTGTTTCCTCCTATTGGTTCTAATTCTTCTTTACAACATGACTAACGTGAAAATATGTTTAATAGGACCGTATATGTAGAGCCTATATCAGATTACATGCTGTCTTAGGGAGGGAGGAGGGGGGAGAAAATGTAAAACTCCAAAGCTTTTGGAAGTGATTGTTGAAAACTAAAACTAAATTAATTAATTTTTTAAAATGAGAGAGTTTAGCTAGATCTCTAAGGTTCTATGATCCTAAGTGGGGTCAAAACAAACTACAAACATTTAAGGACCTGTATGACTCACTCTGCCTTATCTAGAATGAATAATACATCATCCCTATCCTCAAAGAGTTTGCCTGCCATGGAAGCAAAAGTCCTTAAATAACAATTAAGATCAATTAGAGTATAATAAAGTACATGAAAAGAGGATAAAGTGCCATATGAGTGCTGAGGAATAGCCAGGAGAACCAGAAGAGGCTTCATGAAATAGGCTATAAAGATGGGTAGGATATTAAACAGAGATTGGACACAAAAGAGGTTGAAAGGGGAGCAGTATAGAGCAGAAGTGCATATCAGGCATAGAGAATTATGTGACAAAAGGCGCTGACATGGGAAAGCCTATGTAACAAGGCTTAAACAGGGAATGTGCAAAGCTGTCCTCTATTCCAACCACACTTTCTCTGGACGCTTTGAGGATGGTGGTTTCCTAGCTACTTCCTGACCCACCATGGGCAACCTAGCCCTCTATCACTTTTAAGACCAAGGTGTATCCTTTTATAGACCACTAAACTGTAAGAGTCAATGACTTAATGGACCTTTGAAAAGGTATGACTCCACCCTCCCCACAAACCCCACCCACACCCCTCTCTCTTCCTTCAATTTTCCCATGTGTCAAATACTTCTCTTTCACTAGATTTTCCAGAATAGTAGAAAGAAAAGCAGTATTTTTTAATCCCGACCTTGGCTACATGTTGGAAGAGCTTGTACCTAGGCTTTAGAGAGCTTTTTTTCATTTCTTGAATAAGTTTCCTTTCTTGAATAAGTGATTAAGTATCATTCTTGACAAAGATGTGTCCAGGTTAGGAGGTGACGTTGAGAGTTCAAAAGGTGTTTATTACAAGAGGTGGAGCTGTTATCAAATGGAGTTCCTCTGTTAGAGAAAATGACCTTTGGCAGGAGGATGGGCCCAAGCCCTAACCTGGATTTGTAGAAGGCATGAACTGGGACCATGCAGAGCCAAGATGAACTGTGGAATGCTTATCCCATAGTTCCACAAACTTCCATGTTTTGATGCTTATGACTCCTAGCATATATAAGTAGGTATAAGTTAGCAAACGCTTAAACATGTCAATGAGTGATGAGTCTTTTGTGTCTTAGCATTTCTTTTGTGTGTGTGTACAAAACTACTTGACTCATGTTGCACACTGAGTACCTTTCTGTTTCCCCACTTTGGGGAAACCCTAGACATGAACCAAAACCTAAGCCTTGAGCAATTTTCCTCAGGGCCCTGAGGTGTGTGTTTAATGAGCTACAACATGAGAAAAGGGAGCTTAGTCCCTCTAAAGAGAGGCCAGGCTTCCCTAGGAAGCCAGTCCAGACTGTGTGCCCTGGGGTTCACAGCAAAGGGTCCCTTAGGGCAAAAGAAAGAAGAGAAAGTGCTAACTCCCCTTCAACCCAGCAACAGTTTCTTACACAGAAAAGAAATGCTTAAAGACATACAAGACTGTTGAAGAAATTCCTCCTTACCAACAGTTGGCTACTGGAAAAGAGCAGCACCAAACCAACACATGGCCAGAATGATGAAAGATAAATTTGCATGTGCCCTGTTCTAGTCCAGGTTACACTTGGAAAGTGGGGAAATAGTCTGTTTTAGAAGAACACAGTCTGGAAAATAGGTAGAGGAAAAAGAGGGAAGGCAGGTTGGAGCCAAATGGTGGAGGGCTCTAAAAACCAAGTGAAAGGGCAGAGACTCTATTCAGTAGGCAATGAGGAGCTATTGAAGACTTTTGAGTACTGAAACAACGTGAGCAAAGCATCAGGAACATTAATATGGCAGAACTGTAATGTGTAAGGTGGAACAGAGGGTAAGAAGGATGGAAAGTGAAGAGACTCATTAAGAAGTTGGAACTATTGCAATACACAATGAGGCAAAAAGACCACCATACTGGTGGGAAAGCCACTTTAAGCATAGCCCAACAATACATGAAGAATCACCAGTGTAGTCCCAGCAAGAGCCAGCTGGAAAAGCTGAAGAGCCTAGAGGAGATGCCCTAGGTTTTCAAAGATGGCTATTTCGTTTTAACATCTTTATTGCTGGCATGATCCTGGTCTGAACACTTCCATTGTTATTCACTCATTACTCTGTACCCTCAGAATTTAATTGAAGAATTAAGACATTTTGGTCATTATGAATCTTACTTCTTCAGACAGGTATGGATATGTAGGAGGCAGATCTCAGTTTCTTATTTTTGCTCATCCTATATTTGACAGGAGTGTATCTGGGCTCTGACACTTAACTTTACAGAATTTCAGAATTAGTAGGCACCTCAGTGGATGGCTAATCTGGATGCCTTGAAAATATGACAAAAACTTAGAAGTCCCACCAGAAGTAGATGCTTGAGCCATTCTCCACCACAGATAGAAGTAAAGCTCTCTCAATGGTCTCCCAGGCCAATCTTTTCTCCCACCTTTTTCCCTCCAATTCATCCCGCAAACCGCTGAAAGAACCAACCTTCCTAAACTGTCATTACCATCATGGGATCAGAGAGCTGAAGGAACCTCTTACATCATCAGGTCCTACTCCCGTTATTCAGATAAGAAATTGAAGTCTGGATAAGTTAAATGACTCATCCAAAGTCATGCCCTAGCCCTGTTTAAAAATGTGGCATTGTTCCCTACCTCACGACTTAGCACTGGAATATGGACTATCTTTTATTTATCTCATTGTTGGTACCATTGTCTTGTCTCTACTAACTAGAATCTTAACTTCTTGAAGTAAGGGATTATTTTCTATTTCTGTATCCCCTACAGTCCTGGACACATAACAAGTATCTCAATATCTAGTTGTTAACTCCTGCAAATAGTCCTGCCCAAGATTCTTAAGGAAGAAACTGAGAGCTGGTGTTAAAGTTATGCTTAAGAACATCTAGGATTCTTTCATTTCAGCGGAACGCCCACAGTCAATTACCCTAGGAGTAAGGACCCTAGGAGTCCTTGAAACAGTCCTTTCCCTCCCTCCCTTTGCCTGTTTTTCACCTTCCATCTTTTGGGAGACAATAGACTTTTACATTATCAAGCAAAAGGTAAAGAAGGGGAGCAAGTAGGCTATTTGTATTGAAAAGAGCCACGAGCATGGGGCGGGGGTGCTAAGTATGCTGACATCTCCCTCATTAAATATGAACCAAACCAGAAGTTAAGCCTGACAACTTTTTACCATTAGGCTTATAAAAATTCCACAATACGTTTCACTGATTCACTAATTTTTAATCGATCTATTGAACTCAGAATTGTTTAGTACCTATGGGAAAGCCTGCTGGGGGTGGGGAGGGGGAGGAGGAAGACGAAGAGGAGGAGGAGGAGGAGGTGGAGGATGAAAAAAAAGAAAGGCAGGGCGGCCTTTCAGCCACTCCACCCCGTGGCTTGGCGAAGGGACCAGAAGTAAGAGAGGGGTGTATGAAAAACAATGATGTTTGTGCCTCCTCCGAACCCTTGACCCACAGCTGCCAAGACAAAAACGCCCCCATCAGTCGGCCAGAGGAAACAATCCCCTCCTCACTCCAAGCATCCACAAGGAGGATATGACAGCTCAGTCTGAAATATTCGAAGCACCGCTGCCCCCGGGAAGCGCAGTAGGCTAACAGCCCTTTCCAAAGCGCCACCCCGCAGAGACCTGGGATCAGCCAATGAGAGCCTGTGCGCCTGGGATAATGAGATGCCGCGGCCAAAACTGGACCAATCGGAAGCCGGGAGCTACCCGGAGGAGAGGATGGGAGGGGAAGGCAGGGAGGAGAAGGGACGATGGAAAGGGGAAAAGATCAAACAAGTTTCTCACCTTGGGAAGCAAGGGACGCTTCCCTATACTCTGCACGGCCCCTCCTTCCAGCGAAGGAGGAGAGTCCCAAGCCACTTTCTCCGCACCCTCAGACTACTCCCCTTCGAGAGAGGGAAGAGAGGATAGAAAGCGGCAGTGCCTAATTTCATGCTGGGGGTAAAGGGGAGAGTGACAGTTTTGTCGTTCTGGGCTGAGCTTGTGGGGCTCACAGGCAAGGGGAGGGTGAGCGGACCGTGACTGAGCCCCGGGGACTCGATGTGGTGGCCATGGACAGAGCGGCTTTCCCGGGACTGCCTCGCCTCTGCGCCCTGTGGGCAACTCTGCTCGCCCTGTTCCCCTGCGGCGTTCACGGGAACTGGATGTGAGTATGAGACTGGAGGGGAGGGATGCGGAAGGTGGAGAATCCGAGAGATGGACACACTTCCCAGGCAGGTTGCTTGACAAAAAAAGGGGTACGGAGCCCTGGGGCAGCCCCTGGCCAGGAGAACACGTGGCTCGACGTCTGGGAGCCGCGGGTGAGCTGTGTTTCCTGAGGGGAGATGGGCAAATGAGGGGACTGACTGTACATGGCTCACGCCGGGGGGGGGGCTGCCATCTCTTGCAGGTGGCTGGGCATTGCCTCCTTTGGGGTCCCAGAGAAGCTAGGTTGCGCCAACTTGCCTCTGAGCGGCCGTCAGAAAGAATTGTGCAAAAGGAAACCTTATCTGCTGCCCAGCATCCGAGAAGGGGCACGACTGGGCATCCAAGAGTGCAAAAGCCAGTTCAAACATGAGCGGTGGAACTGCCAGGTGTTCTCGCCCGCTGCCTCTGCCCCCGCCGCCTCCGCGCCCCCAGCTGCCTCGCCAGGAGCCGCCCCTCTCTTCGGTTACGAACTGAGTAGCGGTGAGTCCACCTGCTCCCCTTCTTTCTCGGCCTCTCCCCCCCCGCACCCCCCCCCGGGAACCAGCGGGCTTGACACGTCGCGGAGGCGGCTGGAGCTGGAGCAGGCATCCCTCTTCTGGCTTTCAGGAAGAGAACATTTGAGTTTGCGTTGTCTTATGGACCGGGATGAGTAGGGGATGGTGGGCGGGAAGGAGACTGAAATACAGCAGGGTTTTCTGTCAAGCTGCAGGTGCGCCCCCGGGAGCTGGGGCTCCTTCGCCAGCTCTGGACGTGGGCACTGAGGGGGTGAAGCTGTTCTCATTATCCTCAATGTCCTCCCGACCCAAGCCCTCGACCTTCTGCCTTCCTACCTTTGAACTGGGTGGGAACTAAGACTTCTTTCTCTGGGTCCCTCCCGCCCCCCTTCATCTCCCGCTGTCTTTTGAGACCAGCTGGGGAAACATGATGTAGGCCGCAGAGAATGCTGTTCCCCATCTGCTTTGATTTACCCAGCCGTGCCACGCAACTAGCCCTGGTCAAGTGGGTAATTGTGGCAAAAGCAGAGCAGGTTCCCCCACCCCGGCCCCACTGGCTGACCAGATTCTCAGTCTCTCCAGTCACTGAGTTTAGAGAATAAAGAAAATCTGTCAGGGAAAGTCATTCCAAACACTCCAAGAGTTGTCTTCCCTTAACCTTCTTCCTTTCCATTCCCTGCTGGGCAAGGCACAAGTTCCCTGGGAAAAGCTGTGGGAGAGTTAAAAAGTGTCAGTGGCCCTTCAATTGCATTGTGACTTTGTAAGGGCAAAGGTATGAGGATGTCTGGCTTTAAGTGGGTCCTAACGACAGATTGTAGTGCCCTTTCCTTCAGACCGTTTTATTTTCACCCTACTGGTCTACTGATCTTTCCCCACCAACATCCTACCCTCTCCTTACACCATTCCCCCCCATACCACTTATGAGTATCTTATATGTTCTACTACGTGACTCCACAGACAGACCTTCATAAGCAGCAGGGGTTCCTACAGAAAATAACCACAACAAAAGTGGTCTTCAGTTGCAGAAATATCAGCCATTCACTGTTGAAAAGGTCTAATTAGGCTGCCACCACAGACTGCTTTTATTAAAAAAAAAAGTGAAAAACATCTATTGGTGCAGGCCTTTCTATTCTATTTTTTTAAATGTTTATATAGCTCATTAGTTATCCAAGTATTGTTAGTGACATTAATGTTAATACTAATGTAGGTATTATAAAAAGATCTTTTCCCCAAACCTCCAATTTCTCCATAACAATTTACTGCAACTGTTACACTCACACTCAGAAATTATCATCTTTCATCTAGCATTGCCTTAAAAATAAGCTACCCATTGTATACAATGCTGTAATGCCTCTAGCAGTTTCAGATTAGGTAATATCCATCGAATGCATAATCAAAGGAATAAATAAAAATATTTCACATAACAACAATGATGGTTACATGCCATCTACTAAAAATAAGTCTACTCTGGAAACAAATACATAATTTTCATATTTTTTTAAAAAAATTACATGATCCAGGCTTTTACTTTTACCTCATTTTTTGCATACTGCTTTAAAAAAACCAATCACACTGGTTTTTGCAGTGTGTATTTAGGAAGGCACAAAATTAAAATGAAAGGTAACTGTGTATGTTTGGGGTGTTACAAGAATATTATCAATATTTTTCTCACAGTTCATTTTAACAAGCAGTAATTAATTCTGTTTTAAGTACTGGATTAGTTGCTGAAATTTACTTACCTGGAATACTTTTTTTAAAGGATAATACTAAAATTAGACAAAAGACTGACCTACAAGGACAGTGATCAAGGAGTAATTTTACTTGAACCTGACTGAAAATCCTTTTAAAGTGGAGGAATTTTATAAATGATGTCTGCTTTTTAAAAAGAGAAGGGCAATAGGAAACCTCTTGTTCTGATCCTATATTTCTGATGTTGCATTTGCTGCAACGGTTTTTTTTTTAATTTAATTTAATTCAGTAATTTATTAAGCAAGGTTCTGTCCTGGGCATCTGTTGTATAACAATGTCATTTTTTTAAAAAATGCATTTCCTTCATGAGAGAACTTATAGGAAACCCATTTCAGAGATGTATTGCAATGATTTTTAACTGAATAATCCCCCTTATTTTGTCCCAGGCACCAAAGAAACAGCATTTATCTATGCGGTGATGGCAGCAGGTCTGGTGCATTCTGTGACAAGATCATGCAGTGCAGGGAACATGACGGAGTGCTCCTGTGACACCAACTTGCAAAATGGTGGCTCAGCTACTGAAGGCTGGCATTGGGGTGGCTGCTCTGATGACATCCAGTATGGCATGTGGTTTAGTAGAAAGTTCTTGGACGTCCCTACCAAAAACACCACTGGAAAAGATGGGAAACTGTTAGCAATGAATCTACATAATAACGAAGCTGGGAGGCAGGTATGTATTAGGACATGAAATAAAAATGATTTAAGAGCTTACAAGATGAGGCCAAGCCTAGCCTCAGTGTAAATGAGATCATATCAATGAGAAGAAAACTAAGGCATGAATGATACATGTTATTCTAAAATAGTCATGCTTTTGTTTCAGGCACATGTGTCCTTCTGGGTGAGTTTGTTACTTTTGTAGGGCTTGTATTTCCCATAGTATAACCAAGCCTTGCTTTATAAAATAGATTCCTTCAGAAATATTGATCATAGAATCTTAGCATCAAAAGAGACCTTGGATTATTCAGTTCAGTCTCCTGGTTTTACCAACAAAGAAAACTGACTCAGAAAGTGGAAAGTTTAACCTGTATCTGAATCCAAGTCCTCTGGTACTCACTGGAGAGGTGCTTCTTCTGCTAAGCTACATTACATCACTTATATGAGTTCAATAAATTGAATTCAATTTGTCTAGTGGATTATATTTAAATAAAGGAATGTTTTATCATTACTTCTTAATGATCTTCAGACCACAGGAATTCTTAGCTCTTTAGTTTAATTACTTGTCTGTCTACACCTTCTACTATGATCTATGAAGTGCACACTTCATAAGAATCTCTTTGTAAAAAAAAAAGTAAAATTTGGCCTTAAATATTAACCACCTCATTTATCCAGTATTTGAGCTCAGGTTTTTTGTTTATTTCTTCGTGTAAAATATGCTACAAGCTTTCCTTTCATTTTGTATCTTCATATCCACTGAGAGGGTTGACAGTACAAATTAGACTCATCAACATTGCTGAATTACATGAATATTCACAATGACTATTTTGAAGTCACTGAAAATTTTGTTGTGAACATTTACTTTGTAATTTTCAGCAATTCCTTTGGTCCATAAAAATTATTACATATTTATATAATTTTAGATTCCTGATTAATCACCTAACAAACTGTAAATCTCCCATAGTAGCCATTGAATTGCCAGATAAACTTAATATAAAGTAAAACAAGTCAAAACATTTAGGAAAGTTCTTTGACAAAAACTACCTTTATACCATGGCCATTCTTTTTTTTTTAAGTAAAAATAAAATAAAGAGGATTCAAAATAATTTATAGTCTCTGGACAATTTATATTTAAGGAATTAAACTATTTTGAGTTTTGGAAAACTTTGAAATCAGTAAGTTATATTATTTAACTTCATTCAAAATTGCAGAATGTCAATAAGAAAATTAGCAAATAATATTTTAAAAATATGTGTTTAATTTTTTTTCCATTTAACAACAAAATTAAAGAGAAATTTCCTTGATTGAAAATTTTTATTTTTAAAAATATTTTAATCTGTTCTTCCCACTGTCCCTTTCACCACCATGGAACACCAACAAAAACAAAAAAAAACTAAAACCCTCATCAAAAACATGCATAGTCCGGCAAAACAAATCCCCACATAGGCCATGCATGCAGATGTATGTCTGTCTCTGGCAGGAGGTGAGTATTGTGTTTCATCTTCAGTCTCCTGGACTTGTGGCTTAACAGCATTGATCTGTATTCTAAAGTCTTTCAAAGCAGTTTTTCTCTGCTTAGTTTTCATTGTATAAATTGTTCTACTTCTCTTTACTTCAATCTGCATCAATCCACATAAGTCTTCCCAGTTTCCTCCGAAACTGTCCATTTGTCACAATAATATCCCATTATATTCATGTACCATATTTTGTTTAACCACTTCTCAATAGGTAGGTAGGTACTCCCTCAGTTTCCAGTTATCGGCTGGAAAAAAATGGCTGGAAATATTTGGGGCTTTTTTTCTTTCATAAAAGATTTATTTTGTACAAATTAGACCAAATGAATAATATATACAATAACATATATATGTATACACACATACACGCACACATGCACACACGGAGGCATATTTGTTGCTTCACTTTCAATACAATCCAGTTTAGAAAGAACATCTTTTCTAGAATAGGAAATGCAAGAAACATTAAAATATAATTAATAACCAATAGAATAATGTGCAAAGTACAATAATTCAAAGTAGAACAGTAAAAAAAAGTCAAAAGAGTAAAATAAATGCACTTGGCTTACGAATGAAGGAAATTCATATATCTTAGAATCCCCAGTCACACTGTTAGCTTCTTTAAATTCAATCACATTGAGATGCTAAATCTTTCAGTCAAAATAAGCAAGATAAAACATACAGACAAGAACATATTTTTGAAATACTTCTTTCTGTCTATCTGAAAAGATTTTAGTCTCTGAAATGAAACTAAAATAAGAATGAACAGAACTAGGAGAAAAAGGTATACATAACAACAACATTACAGAGAAAAACAACTTTGAAACAACTTTACAACTCAGATCAATGCCATAAAAAAATTAAGAATTCTAATAGATATTGAAATATATCTCCATGAGGAAACTATGGGGTTTAGTATTACCTTGTTTTTCTGTTTTGTTTTGTTTTTTAGTTATATGGAAATATTAGATCCGGTAAATGTTCATTTTGATACTAAATTACTATCTACATATTTATTTTAAGAACTCCTCAGCATTAATCCTAATCTACTTCTTGCTTATTTTAAACAAGCTTCTGAATTATTTCCTAAATTACAGTAATCAGTTTTGTTGTTATTGTACCAAAGAGAGTTATGTGCTGCAGAAAAATAATTCAGCACATAAATCTCACTGAATTGTAGACATAAGCTTTGGGGTTTTGCCAATGGTAATTTTTTTTTTCTTTTCACACTATTCTAGCCACATAAAAAAATTAAAACACATGAAATATTTCATTGTATAATATGGGGGGGAATATAAACACTTAGTTCTTTTTTTGGATCTGTCTTAAAGTACAGCTCATATGTTAGAATCCAAATTACGTTTGGTAGTTTCCTTTTAAATGGTAGGATAAAACAAATTACCAGGTTATTATCTTAAGTGAAAGGACAATCAACTCAATTTTCAGCTCTGCCAATGAGGATTTTAAGGTAATAGGTATCTTCTTCACACTGTAGAGTTTAAGGTCTGCATTCAATTGTACTTTCCTAGTCTCAAAATCCCCAGACTTAAAATATAGGGAAATGTTCCCAAAAATGTGGGTACTGGCGCTTAGTTATGCTATGAGTAGGACAGATGATTTTCTAACCGCTGACCTTAAATACTCTGAATCCCACTAGGTTTCTGACACCATTCCTTAAGTTATGCCTCCAAGAAAAATGTTGCAAAGCAGTGATTGGCCAATAGCATGATATGATGTCTTCCAGGGGCAGTACTTCTGGGAATGATGTGACTTGGAATATTTATGGGTATTTCTTTTGGTGTGCATAGGATATTTCCATTCTTCCCATGTCCACCTCATAAACTTTTAAGTTTCCCTACCCCATAATTTGTTTTATGATGAGTAACTCAAAAAATAGGAAGGGCCAGACCCCAAATGTTCATTGACCGAATTTAAGAATAGTTAAGATAAGTAATTGAACAACACATAAGCATTTAAATCATCAGCAGGTTCAAATATTCCTTCAAACAGAAACAGAACAAAATGGCTCCTAGGAATAGTAACAGCTCATACCATTTTATGAGCTCGTATTGCAGTTTTTATGATTGAAATGGAATGAGCTGTCAGATTTCAAAATTAAACAAGTTAATGGACCTAAATTTATCAGCAAAATTTGCTGGTCATGCATGGAACACTCTTGTCAGAAATGTTAGCTCCAAATCAGTATTGAGAGACCAATTCCTCAGCCATTTGAGCTGCTTCTATCAATCCTGTATTTATGTTTTGCAGTCTTAGTCATGCATCTTTGCTATCTTATTTCAAAACATTTCATCTCACATTGGCCAAAGCAAAATACAGGGAACTTCCATGGACCAAATGCCAACTTCTTAATTGCCCTCTCAAAGTTCAGAAATGTTCCACCAAAATGCACACATCTGTTTGCAATAGTTAACAAAACATTCCTCTGTTAATATTGTTATAAACCTTAACAACTCAACTAGAGTAGAGAAAGGAATTTGCACATAACCACATAAAATTCATTCAGTTGCTATTCCCTTCTGGAGTTTCTGGCAAAAAAAGACTATGGCATCCTTTATTTTCAAATTTTACTATTTATAATTAAGTGGCCCACTGTTTAATATTCTCAGTACATGACATAAAAACTCACTTGGACCAGATATCATATTCCTGGATATAAGATCCTTAGTTCCTGAAATTCTATTCAGAGAATCTTCTTGTTTTCTAAAATTACGTTATTATAGTCCCAAGATGTAGTGCCCCTCACTTTTTGTGTGACTTGAGGCAAATCATGAGCGTTAACCTTTGGGGTTTCTTTTTTTTGTCTTTGTTTTTTTTTGTGTGAGTGTGTGTATGTGTGGGGGGGTATTCATAAAACCAGTGATGATTCACCTAATAATGTGTCTTGAGCACTTACTATGTGTAAAGCATTTTGACCTGACTTGTTGTGGATTTTGAATGTGATAAAATGTGAGAATTTATGAGAATTATGAGAAAGCAATTTAAAAGATAAAATATACTATACAAATCTGGTGGTGGAAGATGGACCCTCTAGTCAGTTAGTACTTCTAGTATTCCTTCCTTTCTTCTCTTTTTAGGTTCTCTGCGGTGCATAGAGATGAAATGTATTTCAGTGGTACAATGATTATGTGTGTGTATTGTGTATAATATATATGTGTGTGCATATATTATACGCATTCATATGTATATGCATATGTGATATATAATATATTCCACTTAAATATTTCTAGTCTTTTCTGTGGAAATTCAGTGGTTTTATTATCATTGAGGATAATCTGTAATAAAAATACCACTCTCTACTTAACAAGACATGGTAAGAGACACTCCAAGTCTGAGAAAATGGGGTGAAAGTTTTTTGAATGTTAATCCTTGAAAGCTGGTTAACTCTAAGTTATTAAAAATTCCAGTTTCCATATCATTTGACACACAAATTCAGCAGGTGGTGAACTATGGAATGAGAAAATAAATCTCTTTTGTACTTTTTACCCTTCCTTTTAAAAAAGTTCCCCCTATAATGATAGCTCAGATTTCTATAGAACATTACATTTACAAAGCCCTTTCTTCACAATCATCCGTAAGGTTGTTAAGGTAGATGTTATTATCCTCATTTTAAAGACTTGGAAGCTGAGGCTCAGAGTGATTAAATCACTCATATGAAGTTGTACAGAGCTAATAAGTAGCAGAGAGAAACAGAGCTTCTGCCATGGAGTCCAGTCTTCTTTTCATTGCACCAAGCTGATTCTATCTCCCCCAAACCACAAAAGGGTAACTAACTATTGTGGATTTTGTCCTATACTAGGTCCCCTCTCAATTCCATAAATATTTAAAAAGTGCTTACTGTGTTCAATGCACTGGCAATAAAAAGGTGGAAGTAGACATGATTCCTGTCCTGAAGGAGCTTATAGTCTAAAGGGAGGGGAGGGAAGAGAGAGACAACGGCTTGTCAGTCTATAGGATGGATGTCTATAGAGATAATTCAAAAAGATAAGTATGAACTCCAAAAGACATATGACAGAAAATGCTATCCACATCCACAGAAAGTACTATGGAGTCTGAATGCAGATGGAAGCATACTATTTGCCTTTTTTTTTCCTTGTTTCTTCTTTCTCATGGCTTCTCCCATTGGCTCTAATTCTTCCTTTACATGACTAATGTGAAAATGTATTTAATATAAATGTATATGTAAGGCCTACATCAGATTGCATTCCATCTCGGGGAAGATGGAAGGGAGAGAGGGGGAGGAATTTTAGAACTCAAAATCTTATAGAAGTGAATGTTGAAAACAAAAAATAATTTTTTAAAAAAGAAGATAAGTATGTAAAAATCTAGGATGGTATAAGAGATTCAAGGGAGGAGGTATCACTTATTACTTAACAAATCAGGGAAGGTTTTATGGTAGGGACTCAGTTGAATTAGGCCTTGAGGGGGAGGATTTCAATAGATGGAGATAGAAACACCATGCTAGGCAGGAGGGGTGGTACTCACAAAAGCATAGGTGCGGGATTGAAGAGGGAGTAAAGCAGGATATTCCTGAAAAGGTACTTGCATCCAAATATCTAAGACTTTTGAATGCCACTTTAAGGAGTTAATATGGGCACTACTGGAGGTTTCCTGACGAGGTTGATGGGGATGGGGGCAGGAGTTAGAAGTTGCTAGTTCAAGATGGGTTAAGTAGTGAAATAATTGTTTAAATATTTTACATATCTCATTATCCTTATGGAAGGCTGGCTGTAGATAGACTCTGAAATTCAATCTTTTTACCGGCTAGAAAATATCTGTTAATGGCTCAGGGGAGGAATTTCCACCACTGTCCTTGCTAGAAAATATGAAGGTAAAGACTGCTTTGGAACTAAGAAAAGGTCACTGAAAAGATTTTATGTTGAAATTAGTTTCCCTGGAATCAGGAAGACTAATGGTGCACTATCAAAAGACAGTGTAGGGATGACCCAAATCCATCAGTCAGTTGAATTATATTGATCAATTGCTATTCCCAAAGGGTCTCCTGGGTGGCCCATTCTGTGGAAATTATTCTTTGATTTACTATACAAGGCCTTTCGTGAGACTTCACTCTGCTATTCAGGGTACATCCCCAGTTATGGCACCACAGAGAGAAGTGGCATGTAGGCACAAGAGTTGGGCTGCTTGTGGTAATCAACAAGTTTTAACCTATAATTATAGATTCTTAGGATTACAACTATGAGCTCTGAAAAGTGGCTTTATCTGGCATTTATTTAGTTCTTTTCTCCTAATAAACTGAAGGTACTTAACAACATCTGACCACATAAGGTATGTAGACTATATTAATTTGTCCCTGTGCCCAGAGTCATTATTTTATTGGGTACATTTCAAAAACTAAATTCAAAGTTTCTTAAAGGTATTGGAGCAAGCTTATGTTTCATGTTATAAATTACTTTAGAGCCTTTAAGACCAAGCAAAGAATATGCCTTACTCTCGGTTAAAAAGACTCAGTCATATATATATATATATATATATATATATATATATATATATATATATTTTTAAGCTTCTCACAAATTAATTACTTTTACAGCCTTACTGCATGCGATAGTGTGGTAAGGTGGGTAGCCATCCTTATGGTCAGAGAGGTGCAGGGTTCAAGTCCTGCCTTTGGCACATACTAGCCGTATGACTACCAGCAAAGTCTCTTAAATTTTCAGAGCTCCGAGGCAGCTTTCTCAAACTATATATTGTGGATGAGTTGATGATCTTCAGGGAGAGGAAATCATAGAGATGAAATCTCTGTTCTAGACCTCAACAAAGCAAAGGCCTCTCAATTTAGTGAGGGATTTGAAGCCTTTCCATTGTTTTGTTAATATTACAGACTCAAAAAGTGATGTGTATGCAACATTCTACCAACAATGGTGGCATTCTATGTGATTTTTTAATAATGTTATTATTTGTGAAAAGTACTACCACTGTAACTTACCATAATCTCCAAATTACTGTATAACAATATTTAAATCATTCTGTCTCTGTAGAATCTAATGTTTAATTAGGAAAGACTACACAGCTCATAAGATGTATAACCTTTAAGTGGCCTATAGAAGATCAAAGTGTTAATCTCATTGTCATTTTACAGTTCAGATAAGAAACTCCTTATCTAAGTGGAATTAAAACTGTGGGCTCATTTCTTTCATCAGTGATTTTTAAGTCATTGGATGGACGAAACAATTTTAAATTTTTCCAAATATGTTGCCTACCTACTAAGTCTACAACTATTCCTAGTGCTTTATTATTTTGTTCTGCTATCCTCTGGGAAATGGAGGAAGCTTTTGTTACTATAATTTGCTGGCTAGAAAATGTAGGTTCTGGTATATGAGAAACTAGAACTACACAGACTTAAAATTCTAACTGCACATTTCATACAATATTAGAGTTAATTCCATATCTAAACACTACTTTGACTCTCATTGCACATGCTGACTGGCAATGTTTGAGATTGGTTTTTCAGTCTGTTTGGGCTCAATTCAACTCTCAGAACTAGAAAGTGTTAGATTAGTGTTCTTAACCTGGGGTCCATAGAGTTTTTCAAACATATTTCAATATAATTGTAATATGTTACAATATATTACTTTGTAATCCTGTGCATTTTAGTTTATGCACTTAAAAACATGGTTTTGAGAAGAGGTCCATAAGCTTATAACAAAAAAAAAAAGGTAAAAAACCCAAGCTTTAGATGATGGCTACTGACTCACCAATAGAAAAGCATGGCTATTTTGTTCTATTTCTTTAGTGGGGATAAACTCGTACTTAACTATCCACACTGTCTCACCTAACCTTTTGGTCATTTTGGGTGCAGTTTACCAGACTTAAGTAAGCATCTTTGTTCCCTTCCCATTGCTGGGAATACCTGGGACGTGGCCATGCTGACAATGAAGCCTCAAGGACTATAGCCCCATGCAAAAGCCAAAAGGAGGTCAACTTTTACCAGGCTTCATTACTGTAAATGAGTACACAGAATCCTGAATTGGAACTTGGAATTTTTATATAGAAACAGTGATGGTTAGGTCCTAAATTTATATTAGTGCCATAATTTTGTGAACATTAGAGACTGAGTCACCTCCTGAGAGGTAATGAACAGCTATGTGTGGCTCTGTATTTTTCATGTTGTTATTGTTGGGGATTTTTTTGGTCAGGGGCAGGGCAGAAATAATGGGATGGACAAATTGTTTAAAAATACCAAAGGTGTGTGTGTTGGAGGTTGGGGGGGGAGATTAGGGGCTAAATGGATATCTGGGAGCTGGCAGGGGAAGTTGACCACAATTTAAAACACTTGTTTCTGTGGTAAAATGTCTTCTGGGTTCCAAGCAACAGACCTACATACATACTTTTGAAACAACCCATGTGTAAGCTGGGGGCTGTCTGTATTGCTAAAATGTTCTTCCATTTGCTTTTGTCATCATTTATACCATTTTCAGAAAGGAATAAAAAAGATCTCTTCTCCTAGTTTTGAAAACAGTAGGGAATAAATTTCTTGAATGCAGAAATACTTGGCAAGTGTGGGCAAAACCTCAGTATCTTTAGCTGGTGTAAAATGACTCTGGTGGTTGAAGTCATCAAACTTGCTAGAAGCAATAGGTTATATTTAAATTGGGAAATGGAAAGTTTTCCTACAGGAATAATAGAAATAGCTAAAGGTACAAGGTGTTTAAAAGATGGGACATAGATTTACTACTTGTCTCCCAAGAATTTTCCCTATCACCACTGCCTGTCAGAAGAAAACTCTTTGGTGTATATTATAAACACTTTTTTTTAAATGAGACCACCAGCTAGGAAATATTTCAATAGCATTTTGTTTGTTTGTTTTCAGTTGGGCAGTTAAGTGACTTGCCCAGGGTCACACAGGTAGTGTTATGTGTCTGAGGCTGGATTTGAACTTAGGTCCTCCTGAATCCAGAGCCAGTGCTCTATTCACTGCCACCCAGCTGCCCCCTTCAATAGCATTTTTGTAGTGGATGAAATTATTATTTGTGTGAAAATGTAATGGGGTCAATTTCCAGAGGCCCATGTCATTTTTTATCCTTTTTAAAGGATAAATTCATTTCCTGGCATATTTCTAAACGTCATGTGGCAATAGGTTGATTGCTTTTATTTTATTTCTTCTGTTTTTGTGTGTTACTATAAGGGAAACTTGGAGCAAAATGTCCCCCAACTATACTCTCTGGGGGCTGTCTAAACTCATTAGTCCAGTCCAGTCCACTCATGTCGTTACAGGGAATTTCCAATTTGACCTTGCTCTAAAAAAGATCCCGAATCCGATTTTATAGTGTCTAATAAATGCACAAAGATAGTATCATTATTGTCTGGGTAAGCGAAACAGGAAGAAATAATTATTTGGAGTTCAGTTGTAGACTCAGGAATTTCGGGAAGTTCGAGTGAAATCTGAACCTGATTCCCGTTTGATTTCAGGCAGTAGCCAAGTTGATGTCAGTCGACTGCCGCTGCCATGGAGTTTCGGGTTCCTGTGCTGTGAAAACTTGCTGGAAATCCATGTCTCCCTTTGAGAAGATTGGTCATTTTCTAAAAGATAAGTATGAAAACAGTGTGCAGGTCTCGGATAAAATGAAAAGGAAGATGCGCAGGAGAGAAAAAGACCAGAGAAAGATATCAGTGCGCAAGGATGATCTTCTCTACCTTAACAAATCGCCCAACTACTGCGTGGAGGATCGAAATTGGGCATCCCTGGGACGCAGGGCAGAGAGTGCAACCGTACTTCGGAAGGAGCAGACGGGTGTAACCTCCTCTGCTGTGGGAGAGGTTACAACACCCACGTAGTCAGACACGTGGAGAGGTGCGAATGCAAATTTATCTGGTGCTGTTATGTTCGCTGCAGGAGGTGTGAAAGCATGACTGATGTCCACACCTGCAAATAACCTGGGCTCCATCTAGCATCACCCAAAGCTCTGGGTGATACACAACCAAAATATAACAGACTTAGTATATATTTCTGAAAGGGAAACGTTAGTGAAGTTTAATCAGCTCCGCCACCATGTCTGGATTTTAGTCTCTACTATTTTCTTCTAATTAAAAGCAAGTTCACACTTCCTTGACGTGGATTTCCCTGAAATTCCAAAGGTTTGATTCAACAAACATATATTAAACCCCTGCCCTGTGCAAATGTATGTTGAGGTTCATCTGTCTTTGTTTAGATGCCTTTTGGGTAGGGGACAACGACCAAGAAAAAAGTGGTGAAGAGACTCTCCAAGGAGAAACAAGTCCATGGAGATGTCAGTTCATGATGAGACACTTGACCCATAATTGCCATAATTTGCTTAAATGTGAACTTGGTCAAGCAGATGTAGTAACTATTTTTAAAAAGAATATTGCTTACAGCAACAAAGCACTTAAGCAAGGATGTTATCACATGTCAGTATTTTTGAAGAAGGCTTTACGAAGAGTTCCTAGAAAACGAAACTATAAAATATGTTCACAGAAGCAGCGTAAATGCATTTACCCTTTCATCTACTTAAGAAGGCCAAATTACCAAAAGTATTAGGGAAAGATAGACTATCTCTTAAAATATGGTGCCCATTAAATATAGCTGGTATCAAAGGGAAATAGAAATCTATTTTTAAAAAAGGTATAAAGTTTGAATTTTAGTGTATCTTTGTAGTCAAAATACATGGATTATAAAAAAAAATCAATAAACATCCTAATAACTGGCCATTAGACACAGAAATTAATAGACTAATACAAATTGCTTAAGCTATGTGATTTTGTTGAGGAAAAAAAATCCATGAAAGTGTTACAAACCTGTGAAGAAAAAAGTTTATTGGATGTTAAAGTATTTTGAAATGTATGGAATGACACTGTTTAAATATGTAAAGACAGTATTTTGTATAGTATTTTGATAAGAAAATTTTATATTTTGTAAATATAGTATTTAAGTTATACGAAATATATGAAATGCTTAAATCATGTTCTTTTTAAGAACTCAGAACTAAGGCAATAAGAGCATCTTTGAAATCATTGCTTTTATACAGTCTCATAGTAGAAATCCTCAACTTGTTTGCTTATGTACACTAAGAAAGTTATCTGAACAGTTACATCGATGGTTTAATTCTTACCAGAAAGGCAGTTTTGTGTTACAGATTGTTTATAAGTTGTTGAGAAAGTCTATCACCTGAATGGTCAACATGAGGTTCTTTTTCACACACCCACACCCACAATTTTTAATTGTTGAATAAATGGAGACTATTAAAATAACATCTATTTTAGTCATCTGAAAAAGAAACCTAAAAATGGCAGTACAAGGACAATTTTGTGCATCCATCATTGTGTCATATTTACTGTATTGTATATAAGACTAGGTTTCATTACTTAAATTTTGTTAATTTTCCTACATTCTAAAAACATACACAATACATTTTACATATATATATATATATATATATTATATATATATATGTATATATGTTTTTAAAAATTCCAGGGCTGAATATTTTAACATGCTTCAATTTTTCTGAGCTTATTAATAACAAAACATTTATATTTATGGCCTTGTTTTAAAAAATAGATTTCTTAAGCACAAAGTAGACAAGAAGAGTATTTTTCATGGCATTCTATTGAATATATTAAACAAAGAATTTTTTTTTCTCATTTTCATTTATTTCCTTATTTGTCAAGGTAGAACAGTGACTTGTGAAAAATAGCAAACCCATGAAAAACGTTGCAGATCCAAATACTAAGAGTAAGGTTAAAAGTTTAACTGTGACCCTTCAAGTTTAACAACAGTGGTCATGCCAATTTCAGGGCTAAGAAATGACCTAGGAAGTGGCTTTTTGGTGCTTTTCTGATTCTGGACAGGCATTTGTAGTATAATGAGAAACAATCCCCGACTCTTTTCTGCTCTGATGAGTAAGTAAATTAGGTAAGTGCAATTTCCACTGTAACACTGAATTTCCCATTAGCCTCTTTTATTCACCTTATTACAACCTTTCAATATATTTCTCCTATCTGCACTCAAACGAGATGTGAATATAACTGAGAACATCATAAAACACAGGTGGTGAAAGGCAAATGTTAATGCCAGCTCATCTGGGTGTGAATGCAAGAACACATTTCAAATTGTATGTTTTTTTTTCTTTCCAATAGTTTAAAAACTTGATACAACTTGATCTCCTTTTGATACTGGCATTTCAGCAACATAAAACCATATTAGGCAGCTCCTCTTTTGAATAGTCAACATTATTCATTTTTAATGGTATGGCTAATTTTTAACTGTATGTGACTTGTAAGAATCTTAAGGAAATTTATCAGAATTTGATACTTATGATCCTGTTCTAAGTCTTTAGAGTTATAACTTGCTATTGCTATAATAAAAATTGGCAGCAGAATCATTTTCTGGACAGGCTGGATTGAAATCAGGAAATCTAGGAAAGAAGTCATTCTTTACACCTAACCTCCACTAAATAATTTATTTATAGGTAGTGTGATGATTTCCAAATATGCAAATGGATGCTATCCAACCACTTTTTGTGATATGCAGTCCTTCTCAAAAAGTGTTCAGTCCACTGTGATAAATTTAATTGTTAAATGAATAAAATGGCACAATTTCTCCAGAAAGTATATCCTTCAAGGCTTTACTATCTTCCTTTAGTACTTCACCATTACACCCATTCGTTGGAATTTACTAGATGTCTTGTAATTAAGACATAATTCAACTACATAATAGACTAGCCCAAACTTGGAGCTAATATCATTTACTTGGCAGAGTAACTAGGGCCACTGAAGTAAGTAGGATATCATAAATAAGGGGAATTGAACTTGGCATAGCCCCCCAAAATGTAGAAAGCCACAGCTATGACTGCCAGAACCCTTAGGACTACTTTTGGATTTGGAATGTTGCCTGTAAAGTGCAACCCCTAAAACTACAGACACACACATAGCCACATCATTTCAGTTAAGTTCAACTCTTCATGACCCCATTTGAGGTTTTCTTGACGAAGATAATGGTTTGTCATTTCTTTCTTCAGTTCATTTTACAGATGAGAAAACAGGCATACAGGGTTAAGCGACTTGCCTAGGGTCACACAGCTAGTTAAATGGGTGAGGCCAGACTTGGAATTTAGGAAAATGAGTTGTCCTGACTCCAGGACCAGCACTCTATCCACTGCACCACTTAGCTTGGAAAGTTTAGGGTATTCACAAAAGCAATCAAAATTATAGTATTCTTTTTTAGATTCTGCAAATGGTGGGGAGAGGAAGAGGACAGATGGTTTCCAGGAAGAATGAACAGTTCAGTTCTTGAAATCTTCCCTAAGCATAAAAACACAATTATAATCCCAAACTGCTGTTATCTAAGTTTTTTTTAATTGCTCCCTATAATTCATATAGGGAATTTTGGTTATGCAAACTGCCACCAAAGTAACTCTTCAGTAAATTATACTTGCAGTCATCTAGGCATACTGAAAGCTAGACAAACTTGGCGTGTTAACAGCAACAGCAAAACTTGAACTTGGACTCTAAGGCCAGCCTTCTACCCACTACACCATGCCAAATCAATAATTATATTACTTAAAATAATGGACCATGAACCAATCCAAAAATAACCATTCCAAAAGGAAATCTATAAATGCTAATCTAATTGATGACAGAGAAAAAACCTGTCTTTTGTTAATGCAGTATACTATTATCTTATTTACTGTGTGTAATCAAAAAAGTCCAAATTTCCCATTTTGTGATTTCAAAGGAAAATCTTACTGTTAAGATGCTACATTAGAGAAAAACAAAAGCCTGAAACAAAAAATCACTATGACAGAATACCTGTATCACCTGTGAAGAGTAACTCACATGAACAGTCTGCAGACCAATTTGAAAAACTGCCAAGATACGTATGGGGTTGTTTTTAATATCATTTCTTTTGTCCAGACCTATGGCTTCATTAGCATAGGAGATTCTCTTCTAATGATGAAGCATGGGAATTGTTCTGCAACTTACTATCTTAAATATTTGCCTGTGACACTGAGAAGTTAAACAACATCCTCAGAGACTCTGAGGCTGCCTCCAGTCACTTCGCCATCTAGTGGCCTCTCTTATTGCACTGTTTCAATGCAATGAAGGATTCAAAATTGTGATTCTCACGCCACAGAAAGCACAGATATGACTGGTAGAAGGCAATCTCCCTTTGCTCTATTTCATATTGCTGAATTGCCACCATGTCCATTTATGTGACAATTATCAACTTAGTAAAGGAGGATCATATTTACAATTCAAAGGGAGCCAAAAAAAAGTTTTCCCTTTACATTTTCTGTCACATACAGCATTTAGTAGTATTCAACAGCTGCTAAATCACACATGGATGTAGCTGCTCCTCACTTTGTCCAAAAAAAGGGTGGGCTTGGTCTCAGCTAACCTTACTGTATTTAATTAATCTTTATCTCTAACACATTTGTGCCTTCTCCATTTAAGGGAAATGTTATTTGCTTTACTTATATTTCTTCCCGGGTTCAACAATGTTTATCACAGTGGTCCTAAATCTTAGAAGCCTGGTCCGAGTAGTTTTAACTTAAGGATTTTAGGACTCCTAGGTAGCCAACTCTTCTAAATTTGCATCAGCCAAGAGAGTTACTACTGACTGTTCTAACTGGTCCACAGAAGGAAAAACTGGCAGTCAATTAATATGTTGTTCAGTTGTGTCTGACTTGGCAAAGACACTGGATTGGTTTGCCATTTCCTCCTCCACCTCATGTTACAGATAAGAAAACGGAGACAAATAGGGTTAAGTGACTTGCCCAGGGTCATACAGCTAGTAAAGAGTCTGAGGCCAGAATTGAATTCATGAAGATGAATCTTCCTGACTGGAAGCCCAGCGCTCTATCCACTGCTCGACCTAGCTGTCCTCAGGTGATGTTAAGTAGTCAGTAATCATGGATTTGGCACTATAACGTTAGATTCAGTACAGGTATATTTGAAATCTTTTTTCTGTTTCTTTCAGACCAAAGCCAAGAAATAGATGAGAGGGAGGAGAGAATAATTATTTTTTTAATGTTAAACAAAAAGAATCTGATTTTTCTCTTTTCCAGTGAAATGAAAAACTGAACATATATATCTGACATTGATAAAATTTTGGGTAGTTACAAAGGCATTAAAAAACACAAACACCCCTATCTTCTTTTAGGTAACGGGAAATAGAACACCATTAATTTTACATTGCCATCTTTCATTCTCCTTAATTTTACTAACCTGTACCAATCCATTCATCAATTTACTCTAATTTGGAGGAAGCCTAAAAAATAACATTTCCATAAGGAAAAAAAAGGAAAACATGCAAAAAGTTAAAAATCTTCACTGCCATGACTTTTTTTGGGGGGAGGGGGAGGCATGAGGTAAATAACTTTATAAATTGAAATACAAATTCAAACACAAATTACAATTTCAATAACACATATTACTAAGCTCCACTAAGCTTGAAAATGGTATTTCCAATGGAAATATTCTTAAATATTGGTAGGTTTCAGAGTAGAGAGGTCAATTTTCCAAATTTTATTCTCAAATTTACAAAACCCAAATTTCATGGTTAGAGGGAATTAGGTTTATGTATACTGCAGTGGGAAAAGTACTGATTCTGGAATTAGTGGACCTGGGTTAAAATCCTGCTTCTCACACTACCTGTGGGACCATGGGCAAACCACTACCTTCCTGAGCCTTATCTTCATCTTCAAAATGAGGTTAGTCTCTGAGGTTCTTTCTACCCTTACATCTCTGACCAAGTAGAATTTTTTCACACTGGATTAACAAATCAATACATGTATCCCAGCAGTGGTGTGACAAATGACAAATCATATAGGCAAGGAAATAAAAGGACAAAAAGCTCACAATTCAGATTTTCAAAAAGGTTGAGTCATTTCATATTTGTCTCTTCCTTGTCTGTTCTGTTAAAACTGATGTGTATGTATTCTTGAACGAACTTCAAGTATAAAAAAGCATGGTAACATTTTTTGATCTCTATCCTCCATGCTCATTAACACTCTCAAGCCTGAAATTCCTCATTGCCATACTCCTTAGAAATTTCTTCTTTTGAAAATTGCTGTAGGGGTAGCTAGGTGGCACAGTGGATAGAGCACTGGCCCTGGAATCAGGAGGACCTGAGTTCAAATCCGACCTCAGACACATAGCACTCACTAGCTGTGTGACCCTGGGCAAGTCACTTAACCCCACTGCCTACCTCCCCCCCAAAAAAAAAACCTGTTGTTAACTGCATAATGCTATTTACTATATATTTTCAGTTTCAACCTTTCCAGTTATGTATTGTAAATTCTTAAAGTGTAAATTATTAGTAAATTACATCTGACACAAATTTAACAAATGTGATTACTTATGAACAGATATCACTGTGATGAAAATGGTTAGAAAGAAAAGATGACTCTCACAACTAAATATTGGGTTTAAGAATTTAAAGGTCAAAGGCTCTGGTTCAGAAATAATTTTTAATTTCCCAAATGTCTTATTTTGCCTGTGTCTTTTGTTAATAATTAGCATAACGTGGTATAAGCTTGATTGCAAGTAAAAAAATTCATAAAACATTAAACAGCATTTAAGATACCATAATACAGATGCTTAACTTGTGATTTTAATAAAGAACATTCAAACTGCATTATAATTAAATGAACATAACTTCACTTACAATGAGATGATTTAAAAAAAAAGAACCTGAGAATGAAGGTAGTGGTAAAATTATTGCTTCCAAAAGTCAGAGTTGGCACAAATCATAAAGGATATTCACACCAAAAAAACCTCAGAAAGTTACAGACTAACTCCTTATCTTTTCCTTTTGAAACTTCATGTTTTCAAAGCTATTTCATAGCCTTTACATCAAAAGTGATATCACATTATTGTTTGAATTTCTAAATTTTTATATACAATGCTAAGGCAAAAAATCCAAAGGATAATGGCATAGATACACAGGTATGACTTAAAACCTGCAAGATAAATAGCTCAGTAAAATGTCTGGAAAATATTACATCTGCAATTCTAACAAGTTTATCAGAAAATACAACAAATCTTCATACCGAAAAACCAAGAGTATTTAATAATCATTACCTGAAAGAAATCTGATGCTTTACCATCCCTGACACTGCAAAATTTGCCACTGTACTTTCAATTTAGAGAACTGAGGGAACTGATGTCAATACACACACACACACAAATGTGGTTTTAAGTGTCCAAAACTACAATTATTTTAATTGTGTAAAAACATAAGGTGCATTTTTTCTTGCTTTACATTCAGCTTAGGTACAAGCTATTTAACTTTTAATAAACATTTACAGTTTCCACCTTGATTTACTGCTGTTTTTGAGGAAGATTTTGAAGTACAAAGCAAAATTACAAAATCTCCTAGTTAATTAGTACAAGTTATTAAAATTCTGATAATTTTGCAAGTTTTTTCTGCACATGTACCATGTAAAACGTTAACTTGTGCCAATGATTTACTCAAGATTATACCATTTGTACGACGTATGTAGCCTGTAGGTGAGGTCAAGAAAAAAACTGAAACTCGGCAAACTCAATGAATAGTTGAACATATTAAATAAAAACTTGGATTTCTCTTATATGTTTATTTAAAACCAAATATAAAATTATCTTGATTTGGCCTAATTTAAACATTTCTGAAAAGACTAACTAGAGTATTATTGGATATTTAGAACTATACACTTAAAATTCTGAAAATGCATTACCCCTGTTGTCTTAACGGCTATAGACAAAGTATTGCTGACTGTAGAGTTGCATAAATGACTGACTGCACGGGACCTTCCCTGGTATATGTGTTTTTTGGAAAGCTCTCAACACACCCAACTCTTTCACTGACCATTTTGCTAGAAAAGTCAAAATTGACAAATTAAGGAGGGTATTCCATTTTTACAGATATGACCATTCAGACTACTGGTTAAAAATTGCAGATTTCATTAAACAAGAGTGAATGATGGTCAGAGAAATACATACAAAAATAAAAATTCAAAAAATCTGTTTATTTCTATGACCACGCTGCTAAACTATATCAGGGTCATTCTTTAAATGGCTACTACAAAGTTAACTTACTTACATCATAAATACAAATTATTTCAAGCTGCAACTCAAATCATATACATTTATACATTCTTTTATCACTCTTTTATACAAAAAGGATTTGTGCTTTTTTGCAGACTTGATCTAAAGTTCTACATCAAACATTTTAATTATATATTTTAAAAATTTATTGGCCATAAGTTTCTGTGGGAGGCAAGGAAATAAGGTAGGGAAGGAAGTGAGGTAGAATAGGAGGGGTATCTGGTATTAGACAGCAAAGCAAAATTCCAGAATATATACAACCAGTCAAATACTTCTTTATTAAAGACTGATTACTGCCTTCAAAAGGGCAGCACATTAAAAAAAAAAGTTTAACCCTCTCCCCACTCCAACAAAACTCTTTATTTTTCACAATGGCCACATTGTTATAGCAATTGCATCTATAAAACAATAGTATAACAGTCTTCATAATTTGTTCACAATGTGTGCTTAAAAAAGACATTCCTACATCTTAAAGATGTTGTTCATCATAATGCAATCTAAATACTGTGCTTTTAGAGAAACAACAGCTTATAAAAGGTTCATTATGGTAGACCTATTTACAAAGTTTACTCTTTAGGTTAGCAATAAATAATCCTGATTTTGGAAGAGTTGATACTCATGCATAACTGACAAGATGGACATATACTCTCAAAATATTTACATAGTAATATCTCCTTCATAGCATTCCCATCAATAGCATAAAGATAATTTTCTCTAACATTCTTCATATTGTTCAGTCTTGCTTTTGGGGGATACAGCCTTCCATTTCTACAACTTCTGGCCATCCTTCATATTTGTTTGTATCCTTATTGTTCTTTATGTGCTACAAAAAAAAAAAGAAAGAAAAAACAACCACCACAAACCCAAAGTTGTAATAAAAACACATCAAGCTGATTTTTAAGCTTGATTTATTAACAGGTTTTTATAGTGAAGAGGGCATGACCAAGAAAATTATATTTATTAATTCCACTTAGTTAAGTGTGAATAACAAGGACTCCATTACTGAATAGCAGGCAGAAGTGTGCTCTGCACATAGTATGTACATGAAATTTGAGTTAGTAAATATATTTAATATTTTTGTTGTAATTCAAAATCAAGTTCAAGTAGCTCTAATACTAAGCTCTCAAATTAAAATAAATAAATTTGGGTATAATATAAAACATGCAAAATTCCAACTATTTCCCAGATTAAATGTTCCAGTATTTGTAATGTTAACTACTCACCCCACCAAAGATCAAGATGAGGAAAGTAATCTTAAGTTGCCATTATTTATACCCTTAGTTCTAGTGCATTAAAAACACATGAAAAAAGTTTGGAGGTTTTAAAAATTTGACAGATTTTTAGAAGCTATAGAGTACTATGGGACTTTCAAACAATTAATTAATAAGAATAGTGCTCATACAGGGTAACTGGCCACATCTGATTTCTACCTATTTAACTGAGACCAAGAGTTAACTGGGACAAGATTAACTATATTTTTGTCGAATGCCAGGCATTTTGAATTTATTCACCAAAATATAGTACGAAAAAGTCAAGCAACTCACCTGCTCAAAGGGACTTTTTGTCTTGATGCCTTTTCCACCACAGAAGACCCAGTTGTCTCTAAAATCGAGGTTAACGATAGCTGTGCTTCCCAAAGCAGCAATCAGTAATCTTGCCTCATTATTGAGTCTTTGAGAGAGAATAAGTGAACATGATATGAAAACACCTTGTACAGAATGCATTAAATATAAGAACACTACTTCTCCCAAGAAGAATATTTTTTGCTTTTTATATTTTTATTTTAGACTTAAATACTAAAACAAATACACAAGAAAAAGAAACAAACTTAAATACAAAACGGGGGGGGGAAGCACTGTTGTGCATAGCAGAATGTAAGAGAGGATTCAAAATATACAACAATAAATTTCCACCTCAAGAAAGCCTATCTAAATAAATACTATGCCTTGTGTTGAGAACTGTCCATCTTCTCTTTGTTTCTTTGTAATCTCTGCTGTGCACTTTTTCCTTTTTTCCCTCTCCCCCATACCCCCAAAGGCTACGATTAAACATGGATATATTTATAGATATAGACACATACATATATACACACATATAGACATACGCGTTCCCTAACAAATTCTACTCCTGTCTGTGCCATATCTCATTTCCTATCCATCCTGACTCCTCTACTTCTACCCACTACCTTGCCCTCCTAATTCTTAACCTACTCTCCCCCCCCAAGCATTCCTCCCTTATTCTCCCACTCCCATTAATCTAAACACCCTTTTATGTGTCTCTTTGACCTATTCCCTCACCCTCCCCTCTAAAATCCCTCCCTTGTTCTCTCCCCCCATCTCTCCCCTTAGTGTTCTATTTCTTTGTGAATTTAGAAGACTTTTATGCTCTAGATATGTATGTATTGCTCCCTCTTAAACTCATTCCTGATGAAAGCAGGTTTCCAGAAAGAATAGCCCTCCTCCCCCATCTAATTCCTCCGTGTTGGTTCTTCCTCTCATACCTCACTTGTATAATTACTCTTTTTAGCTGTTCCCAAAAGATTTTACTTCTTAAGATCATATACTCAGGTCTACCCTAAACATCCTTACAAACTATCCAATTACTAATAACAATCTTTGGCATGCGTTTTACATTGTACATACATAAAAGGTAAACATTCTGTCCTTATCAAGTCCCTTTTAATTAGTCTTTGGCATGTACCTTATATTTCTCTTGGTTCTTGTATGTCAAATATTCTATTAAGTTCAGGTTTGGTTTGGTTTTGTTTTTAAAGAAAAATCCTAAAAATCTCACAATTCATTACATATCCATTTTTTTATTCAGAATTACACTTAGCTTTGCTGGGTATATTTTCGGCCGCAACTCCAGTTCTTTTGCTCTTCTATATATAGTGTTCCAAGACTTGCAGTTGTTTAGTATTGCTGCTGCTAGGTCTTGTGTGATTGTAAATGTGGTGCTGCCATATTTAAATTACTTTTTTCTTGTTGCTTGTAATATTTTATCCTTGAGCTGGGAGTTTTGGAATTTGACTCACAGGATCTCTTTGAGGTGTTAGTGGATTTTTTCTACTTCTACTTTCCCCTCTTGTTCTAATGATTCAGGACAATTTTCTTTAATCATTTCTTGTGTCATTGTATCAAAATTCTTTTTTTGATCATGGCTTTCAGGTAGTCCAATTATTCTTGTATTTTCTCTTCTTAATCTGTTTTCCATATCAGTTGTTTTTCTTATGAGATGTTTCACATTTTCTTCTATTTTTTTCATTCTTTATTATTTTGTTTTATTTCTTGCTCTCTTATAACTTTGCTCACTGGCTTTCCCTTACCCAATTCTGATTTTCAAGGAGTCATTTTCTTCCTTAAGATTCCATATTTTCTTTTCTAATTGGTTGACTTTCTTTTCATAATCTTGTTTTTCTTAGATTGATCTTTTTCTTCCTCAATCTCTCTCATTTGATTTTTAAAGTCTTTTTAAAAGTTCTATGAATTTTTTGGGCAGATTTGATGTTACCATAGTATCTTCCTCTGAAGACAAACCTCAGTCTTCTCTATTCCCATAGTAACTCTCTATGATTGGATTCTTTCTCCTTTGCCTGTTTTTTAATTTTTTTTTTTAATTTGTAGCAGCTTAGTTTTTGACCTCTAGTCCTGGGGTATGGGGGATGGTGCCTCTGGCCTCACATCCTCCTTCAGTTCTTTTCTCCGACCTTGATCCCAAACCAAGACCTCCAGCCTCCTATAAGTGCCCACAGCCAGCCGCATGGTCACCCCACTGCTTCTGCACTCACTGGGCACGTGCTGGTTCCTTCTTGCCCCCACCACTTCTCCACAGCACAGCTGGATCTGGCATTCCTTGTCAGCAGAGATGCCTTTGATCTTCTCCAGCTTAGAAGCCCAACTCCCCTCAAAGTTCCTCTGGCTGGGCAGAGGCAGCACCCCCCTCCCCCCAACTAATCCCAAGGCTTGCCATCTTTTGTTTAAGTGGAACTACCCTGGAGGTGTTTACTCTTCACAGGTTCCAAACCTCTCCTGGAATTTTTCTTTGGATCTTCTCCGCTGTCCCAGGAAGACCACTGTTCTGCCTCTACTCTTATTTATTTTTACCCCTCCATGTTCGCAGTGAGCACCTCATTTGTCAGGGAAATCTGGAGAGTTTGGAATTTTCTGACCTGCTCTGCCATATTCCCAGAATCCTCCCAGGAAGATTTTGAGAGTAAGTTTTAGAGAAAGAGTGGAACAATGAAGGAAACAAATTTTGTTGAATGCTAAAATATCATAAGCATTTTTACATAGTCATAATGGTGGAGGGGCAGCTGGGTGGTGCAGTGGATAGAAAACTGACCCTGGAGTCAGGAGGAACCGAGTTCAAATCCAGCCTCTGACACTATATGGCAATGAGTATTAAAACTAGCTTCAATACAAAACTATTTAAATATATATACTACATAAATGAAAACAATTTCTAAGTCAACAGATAGCCACATAAAAACTCTCAAACAACTAATACTTGCATGAGAAAATCATGCTCTGCTGAAAAATACATTCATACAAAAGTTAAACCCTGGGGGGTGGAGCCAAGATGGCAGAGTGAAAGCAGCAACTTGCTTGAGCTCTCCCCAAAACCGCTCCAAATACCTATAAAAAATGGCTCTAAACAAAAGTTAAACCCTACGGCAAACTATTAGGCAAAAAATAGGTTGAGATTTTTCTAACTTTGATTGTCTTTTACAGAAACTTCCCAAGATATCTCTCTGCTTTTCCTAAGACACTGCTAGGAATTTTTGGTACAAATTAATTAGCATATAATCCAGTGACTTCTGGACAGGAGAAATTAGAGCAACTAAAAAGGTGAACATAGGGGAAACCACTGATTGGGGAGAGAAAAAAAAAAGACCATTCAGGGATTTTAATACAGAATATCTACAATACTGTGATGTGACAAGCTACCTTACCACAGTGTAGAGAATTTGTGGACAAAGTCTACAGTTCTATAGGCTTTTGACATAGTATTTCCATGAAGTTCCAAATGACCCACTTGTAACATCCAAAGAGTTTTTGTTTAAGGAAAGAAACTACATCAGGCAATGATTATTATTTTTTAGTTTAAACCTGTGATGTCACTGGTATAGGAAACTCCTACCAATGCACAGCAACAATTTTCTTCAACTCGTAGTTAAGATAGCTGTGTGAGATATTAATAGATTAAGTGATTTACCCAGCATCATAAGAGGTACGACGTGAACCCAAGTCTTCCTGATGTCAAGTCAGTCCTCTGTGTCATGCTCTGATATACTTACTTATGATTTTCTGCACTTAACAATCATTGTTGTTATTCTCTTGTTTTTATGTAACAACCTTTTACATTTTTATGCTAATACTAGTTTGAATTTATGCTGTTATTTTAATATTCTTATTTTTATATAAGCCTATTTAAGTGGAAGATGTTAATCTATGTTCTGATTCTTGTTAATATATTTGTTCATTTGTCAATTTAAAAAAATTATTTGTTAATTAAAATTATCATTAAATTATTAATTTATTGACTATTCATTTAATTTGAATAAGCAGTTATTTAATGATAGTAATAATATATAATAATAAATTATAACACCTGTTTAATATATTTAATAATTATTAAATTTAATTACAATAATTTTTAAAATAAAAAAAATTGCCTTTTAAAAAAAAGCAGCTAAATCACTAGTGATTAGGGAAATACAAATCCAAACAACTCTGAGATACCACATCACATCTATCAGATTGGCTAGTATGACAAAACAGGAAAATGACAAATGTTGGAGATGTGGGAAAACTGAACACTAATACATTGTTGGTGGAGTTGTGAATTGATCCAACCATTTTGGAGGGCAATTTGGAACTTGCCCAAAGGGCTATAAAACTTTGACCCAGCAATACCACTTCTAGGTCAGTATCCCAAAGAGACCACACAAATGGGAAAAGAATGCACATGTACAAAAATATTTATTGCAGCTCTTTTTGTGGTGGCAAAGAATTGGAAACTGAGGGGATGCCCACTGACTGGAGAATGGCTGAACAAGTTGTGGTATATGAATATAATGGAATACTATTGTTCCATTAGAAGTTATAAAGAGGAAGGTTTCAGAAAAATCTGTAGTTATATGAACTAATGCCAAATGAAGTGAGAACATTTTACACAGTTAATAGCCACACTATGCGATGACTAACTTTGATAGACTCAGTTCTTCTCAGCAATGCAAGGATTTAAGACAACTCCAAAAGTCTCATGATGGAAAATGTTATCCACATCCAGAAAAAGAACTGTGGAGTCTGAATAAAGATCAAAACATATTATTTGCCCTCTCTTTTTTTTTTTGTTTCTTCTTTCTTGTGGTTCCTCCCATTGGTTTTATTTCTTCTTTACAACATCGCTAATATGAAAATATGTTTAATATGAATTTATATGTAGAAAATACATCAGACTGCATGCCAGCTTGGGGAGGGGGACAGGTAAGGAGGAGAAAATTTAGAACTCAAAATCTTATGGAAGTGAATGCTGAAAACTAAAAACAAATTAATTTTTTAAAAAGGGAAAAAAAGCAGTTAGAAAAATATAAGCAAGTAAAAAGCCAGTGACATGGAAATTAAAAGCAGTCAGCAAGGAGGTTTCCTGGGATATCAGCCGAAGTCCTAACATTATTTTATACTCTCTCTCTGTCCAAAGGGTCCACAGCTGGGCCCCAAATCAATCTAACTGGGGGCAAAGTTAGCTCAAACTATCCCAGGTCTGCTCTATAACTCCTTTGTTCACAAATATCCCTAAATGAAGTTGTGGGAATGCGGGAAGTTAACTCAAACTCTTCTAGTTCTAATGTCCTGGGCCACAATAATACCTAAAGAGAAAATAAGCAGGTTGCAAAACAATGAACTTCTTGTTCCCATGCTATAAAATGGTAGCACATGTTAATTTCACAAAGTAAAATATACCCCCAAAGTTGAATGATTTCCATATAAAAGCTGCCTATATGAAGTCACCAAGCAAAAAAAATAGATCTTTTTAAGTCACTTCATAGTTTTAGGTTTTGTTAGAGATACAAAGCAAAAAATATGTACACATTTTGGCTTGATTCATGCGAACTGTAAGTATATGTACATATGTTTCTGGATTATGGGGATAGTCCAAGTAAATTTAACTAAGAAATACCTGAATCACAGTGCTATTTAGTTTCTTTCCTTTCAATTTATATAATTTAAAATTTTGCTTTGAGAGAATTTATTAATTTAGCCTGTTTGTTCTACTAAGAGGTTCAGAAACAATTTGAAATTTATAATTTTATATGAATATTTTAGCATGCTCTTTGTTTTTTCCACTGTTTCTTATATATCTGATCTTTATTTTAAAAAGTAAAAGGTGAAGCTGTGAACTGGTCTAGCCATTCTGGAGGCATCTTTTGCTTTGTTTTTTGTTTTTGGCTAGACAATGGGGTTAGGTGACTTGCCCAGGGTCACACAGCTAGTAAGCTTCAAGTGTCTGAGGCCTGATTTGAATTCAGGTCCTCCTGACTCCAGGGCTGATGCTCTCTATCCACTGCACCACCTAGCTGTTCTAGATGATGCTTTCTTAGTAGAGATTATAATACTGGCACAAAAGCAAGTGCAAAGCATTGGAACTTTCAATTATCCTAACATCTTCTGGTAGTATAATCTCAAAGAAAATGGAACAGAAATATCTGACACTTGCTTTGCTGCTAATTTTCTTATTCAGCAAGGGTTACTACTACTCTGGAATTAATTCTAATTAACAAGGAATAATTAGTTGGTTATGTGGAACAAGGAACTTTAGCATAAAAAAAGTCTATTTTTAATTAGAAGTAGCAAAGAAAAGGAATATATAAAAATGTATGTAGATAAGAGGAGAACGGATTTCAAAAAGTTGAAGAAAAGAAGACAGGTATGAATACATGACTAGTGGTTCTGAAAGTGAGGGGAAATGTCCAATAAAAGCTAGGAAATCCTTTTTAAAAATTCTCACCGTATAATCACCAACCAACCAATAAGTACTTATGCACTGCACTAAGACCCTAGAGGACTTTATTCGATGTGAAAGAAAAGGAGAAAGGTACCTCAACAGGGATGAATACAAGTGTGGCATGAACCTCAAACTTCTGTCAGGAAATCTAAAGCTCAGAAGACACTAAAGTGCATCAAAACTGATAAAACAAACAAAAAAGGACTATGTTCCTCTGTGGAAAATGGTGTTACATTACCCAATGAGAGAATACATAAGAAAGTGCTCTGTAAATTGTAAGCTATGGCACACAAATATATGGAGTTATTAAAAACAGATGACATATCCCAAAGAGATCAAACAAAAGGAAAAAGACCTATTTGTACAAAAATATTTATATCAGTTTTTCTGTAGTGGCAAAGAATTGGAAATCAAGGGAATGCTCATCAATTGGGAGAAAAAAGAAAGCTATTATATTTACTATAGTTACCTTTACCTATTTGAAAAGGTATCATGTAAAAAGAACAGATTTATTTTGTCACTCCATGGGGCAAAACCAGAAACAATGGGGAGAAATTACAAAAACACATTTCAGATTAATTTAATAAATATATTTTAATGATATGCTTCTTCCAACAATGGAATAAGTTTTCTCATTAGGCAGTGAGCTTCCTGTCACTTGGTGGTTGAACCCAAGGCTTCTTCTAACTATAATTCTGTGGTTCTGATGTTTTTAAAAAATTTAGGTAAAAAGGAACTAAAAAAAAATGGCTCCAGATAGTTGAAACCAATATTAAAAATAAACTCAAATTAAATTTAGCTTGCTTACTTAAACTAGAGACTTACTTAACTTGTACTAAACTGTATGTAGGGTATTGTTTCTGCAGTACAACCTAAAACTATATCTTTTGTCATCATCCCATGTCTGTTGCCGACATGCACAGATGCACCAAAAACTGTTACTAAAGTAGAAAGAAGAAATTTAAACCAACTTTTGTCATTATTCTTTATGACATCAAAGCATTATAGAAATGAAAGGGGCAGACTCAAATTCAAGCCTTCTACATACACGCTTGTATAAGGAAGAAGGACCTCAAACTGGGGAATTTTCCTCAATTTGCTGAAGGAAGCACCTAGTCTGTCAGCAGACATAAAGTGGAGCTTCTGTTTTATTCAACAGTTGGTGGGTAATTGATGAGTTATTTCAAAGGTTTCTCAATTACACACCTGTCACTACAAAGTACTACAGACTTCACTTATCTCTATGGGCAAGTTAGAAACTAATGACCCCATAGCCTCCTTTCATCAAAGTAAACAAGCTCACTGGTTTAAAGTTCTCTTTACCCACCACACACTAACATGAGGGGGAGGAGAAGATCAAAACATACCTGTACCTTCTATTCACAAATGGCCATATTTTCTGACATAATCCTAATTAACATAATCCTCTGAATGCATTAAAACAGTAGATATGCCCAAAAACACAGAACAAGTTGATAATGCTGTAATACACAAGACTAACACTGAACCTATGCAGAATTTGATTTCTTCAGAAAAATATTTTTAAGTCTAATCTCATTGTTTTATATTCAGAAAATTAAAATATTCTATACTTTAATACCAACTAAATAAAATATGTAAAACTAAAGAAGGAAAAATTTTATAAGCATAGAATTTTGCTCCATTGATGAGCACAGCACCAAGCACACAGTGGGTGCTTAATAAATGTTATTAATTGAATGACTGACTGAGTCCAAGTTTTACACAAGAAATCCTTTTCAGGACTTTTTCTACCCTGCTCCAAAGTAGCTATTGCTGAACATTAAGGTTTCTTCCATCCTTATCTTTATATACTTAGAATCCATGTGTAGGAACAAGGACTGGAAAGATCTCCACATATTAATAGCTCATTAAACTATTATGGTCCTTAAGCACACAGTACATCAGGCCATGAAAGCTTTAGCAGAAAATTCAACTTATGTGGTAGAAATATAGGTCAGTCCAGGGGTGGTGAACCTGGGGCCTCCAGGTCCTCAAGTGTGGCCCTCTGACTGAATCAAACCTTCACAGAACAAATCCACTACCCCCAACCCAAAACCAGAAGCTCTACTTTATGTCTACTAACAGACTAGGTGCTTCCTTCAACAAATTGAGGAAAATTCCTCAGTTTGAGGTCCTTCTTCCTTATACAAGCATGTGTGCTTGAATTTGAGTCTGCCCCTTTCAATTCTATAATGCTTTGATGTCATAAAGAATAATGACAAAAGTTGGTTTAGATCTCTTCTTTCTACTTTAGTAACAGCTTTTGGTTAGGGTTAGGGCTAGGGTTAGTGGATTTGTTATGTGAAGTTTTGATTCAGTCAGAGGGCCACACTTGAGGACCTGGAGGCCCCAGGTTCACCACCCCTGGACTGACCTATATTTCTACCACATAAGTTGAACTTTCTGCTAAAGCTTTCATGGCCTGATGTACTTTGTGCTTAAGAATCATAATAGTTTAATGAGCTATTAATATGTGGAGATCTTTCCAGTCCTTGTTCCTACACACGGATTCTAAGTATATAAAGAGAAGGATGGAAGAAACCCTGATGTTCAGCAATAGCTACTTTGGAGCAGGGTAGGAAAAATCCTGTAATCAGCATGCCTATCAAGTGTACACTGATGACAATTATGATAAAAAAAAACCTTTCTCCTAAAAGAATAAAACATTCTCTCTGCATTTATGTATATATGTATGTATATTTTATGTATGTGTGTTATATATATATATATATATATATATATATCATCTCTGATCAATAATTGGGGGGAGGGAGAAAGAGAAACCTCTAAATTTTAACAACACAGGTGTTGTACAGAATTATTTAGCCAATTTTAAACTCGCAGAATTTCAACCACTCCCACCCTTATATTTAAAATTCTTGAATTAACAAAATAAAAATGTGCCCTAATATAAGAATACTCTGTAGTAGTAAAAGACTGCTTTGATATACACATATTCATTTATAAAGTCTTAATGTAGAAAAAAAATCCATACATACTTGGTTGCTCCATCATCATATGTTCCCATTAAAACTATGGTTCCATCTTGAATAGACTTAAGGAATTCAATAAATGGTGCCACATCTAAAGAGAACAAAAATAATTACATTTTTAATGACTGAGCAATTAACCCTGCAAAAACAAAGCATTTCTTGGCATTTCCAATTAGCGCGTGATCACAGAACAGAAATCATTAAAACATTAGCATAGTCCTGTAAATAGTTTAAATAATAACTGGGTACACTAATAATTCTTCCAAAGTGACCCAAACATACCTTGTATCAACAGCTAACTAAATATATATCCAGGTGGTACAATGCCCTAGTGGTAAAGTGTGCAGATCAGGGATAATTTTAACCCCAGTTTCAGAATGGTTTTAGGACTTTCAAGATAAACTTGAGAGTAAATTCCTTGAGGGCAGGTACTTTGTTTTCTATCTTTGTATTCTGTGTCATTAGGATATAAAAGTAAGACCTAAAGTACTTGCTTCAGGCTATAATTATCCTGTTCCAAGTAAGAGGAGGAAACCACTCAAGGCCAAAAAGACTCTAGAGGGCAAATATTGGTTTGAGAGCCTCAAAAAAAAGGCAAGAAAAACAGGGGGCTCTCAAATCTATTAGATTAGTTTCTGAACACACGATATTCCCATGGGTCTTCAGAACTGAGGAAATCATAAGCAAGAGGTATTTTAAATTCAAGAGCGGACCACCCAAATCTGGTGGCACCAATTATTTCCAGGAAAGCAGAAGAGAAGAATGACTAAACAGTTACATAATCATAAATTTTACAATGGCAAGCGTTCTCTGAAGACCACATTTTGACATACCATTCAAAGCTCCTACCTCCTATAAGCAACTTCAGTGCTCCCACTTAAACTTAAACAGATTCTCATGCTAGAACCACTTGCTCTCATCAGGTCTCTAATTGAGTAAACTTTATAATTGTAGCATTTATTATTCATGGATCACATAAAATAAAGTTACCAATTACTTACACTTGAAAAGACTGTATACTACAACTACTCCTAAGTGACATGTTTTAAAAAGCATTAACAATCTAGTTTTGGTATAGAAAGGCAAGCCAATATCATCTTTCTAAATAAAGCACAAGGATAATCACACCACTTCCTTGGAGAAGCAATGTGGGGTGGTAGATAAAGAGATCTAGTCAGGAAGAACTGAGCTTAAGTCCTGCTTCTGCCCCAAACCAACTTGTGATCCTGAACAAATCACTTAACCTCTTCTAGCCAAGGTGTTAACCTGAACTGGTAAGAGAAGTTACTCATGAGAAGAAGCTGCTGCTGCTGACCTTACAGGTCCAGTTAAAAAAAAAAAAAGGCTAGACAATACCAGGATTGACTATGTGTTACTAACTCTAAGTGTTAACATAAGTATTAACATATAAGCTTTGGAGTCCCCAATCATGTATGTCTTTGGCTTAAGGAATTGATGGTAGTAGTCTCATGTCTAAATAAAGCTTTTTGAATCTATGAAAAGTCTTTCTAATATTATTAGTGAGAAAACTGTGGAAACCAAACTGACTCCATTTTGAGACCTCCGTTTCACTTTCCTGTAGATTCTAAGTATCCTGTTTCTAATCCAGAAAAGTCTACCTGCTTGATCTCCCCCTCCCAAAACTCCCTAATCTCAAAACTCACTTATCTCCCCCACTCCCCACCTAGAAAGCCCCTAATCTTCCCTCCCATTAGAAAGCAGATTACCTAATCCTGTATCCTGCTTTGACATTTTGGTCCTCTTGGAGAATGAAGGACAACAGCCAACCACCCAACCAATCATTCTGCTTTATATCATATTTGTTGTTTTGATGCTTAAAAATCTGTCTCTCCCTGTATTTGGGACCCTGTGCCAAGTTGAGGAGTCCTGGTCCCAATTTGTTATGCAGTTGGCAAACACTGCTTAGTAAATCAATATGCTCAAAAGCTCAAACCTTTGTTTCCTCAGTTATTTCATATTTTACCCATCACATTAGCCAAATAAATACTCATGGCATCTTATTAAGTTTAGGGTGAAGAAAACTGTTATCAAAAGCTGTAAGATACTAAAGCTCTTAACCAAAATTCAAGTAGCCCTTTCCTGCCCACCTCGGGAACATAATGGTTGGGAACATAATGGTTGTGTGACCTTGGGCAAGTGTCTCACCTCCTCAGTGCAACTCTCTAAGACTATTAAGCAACAGAAACGTTTTTCTTGCATAGCTATAGAGAATTCCCTGGCCAGGTGCTCCCTATATGAATGACATCAGAGATCTGGGTTTAAAACAACGACAACAACAACAATAAAAATAGTAGCACTAGGACTATTAAAAAAAAATTCAAGCAGCCTTGTACCTACTTCACAAGTTTGTTGTGAAGAAAAAAATGAGAAAATGCATGAAAAGTATTTTGCAAACCTTGTTCAAGTGATATTTATCTATATTCTATTTATATGTAGTAGTTGAAGGAGAGAGCACAGGACTTATGATTTCAATGGTAAAGGGAATTATGGGGGGGGGGGGGAATTGGTTGTACAAAACTCAGATCTGCACCTGCTCTGCTAACTTAAAGAGTCTTAAGGGAGCAGATCGCATCACTAAGAAATTAAGTGACTTGTCCAGGGGTTACAAAGCCAATGTCAGGTAAGACCTGAATTCAAGTGTCTCACCTGACTCCCAAGGTTGATCTCTCACCACCATGCCACACTGACTCTCATACATGTGTATATCTATATGTCTAATTATTAGAGACCTTCCACTCATATCTCTCTATTCCCTCTCTTCTAATCAGCTGATTTCAAGGGCCACATCCTTGCTTCCACATCCTCTTCTTCACTCACCAATCCATCACCCATATTTAGGCCTTCTTTTTCTAATTTTTCCCTTCTCTAATCCATCCACCATATAAGTGCCAGTAGACTCTTCCTAAAGCACAAGTCTGACGATATCATTTTGGGGCTTAAGAGTCTTCAGTCGCTTCCTATTGCCTTTGGTATAAAATACAACTGTTTGATTTAGCATCTATAATCCAGAACAAACTAGCTGCAGCTTATTTTTTTTCTTTTTTCTTTTTTTTTTAAAGATTTGACACTACGCCCTACTGTGTAATCCAGTACCACCTAAACTGGCCTGTTTACTGTTTCCTGAACTTGGAATGTCATCTCCCATCTCTGTGCAGGCTGACCATCTGTGTCCTATCCTCACCATGCTCTTGCCTCCCCTCTCCACCTCTTAGAATCTTTATCTTTCTTCAAGACTCAGTTCAGGCACCAATTCCTTGCCCTCTTTTTCTTTTCCTCCTAGTTGGTCAGTCCTCTTGCTCTTCTGAAATTATCTTGTATTTACCTACCTGTTTGTTTAGATTTCCTAGAAGAATTAAAAGTTCTTTGAAGACACCAACTATTTTTACTTTTTATTGGCTTCCTAGCACATTATCTTGCACATGATTAATAAATGTTTGCTGAATTGTATTTCAATTTCCTTTCTGAATGCCCTGATTCACTATGCCCTGCATATACTATGAACTACCTTTTCCTAGTTTGTGTGTAAAGATGAAACATTCAAACTAAGATTGGAAGAAGAAATAGCTTTTGGGAGGAAAGGGAGGCAATGAAAACTGAATTAAAGTATTTGAAAAGTTGGCATGTGAAAGGAAGGATTAACACCTACCTTGCTCTGCTTGGCTCCAGAGGGCCCAACTAAAAGCAATGAGTGGAAACCGCAGAGAGGTAATTTTGGTTCAATGTAAAGAATAATTTTCAAACAATTTGAGTTGTTCAAAAGTGGAAATTTGCTGTTTTAGGAAGCAGTGGATTTTCAATCAAGGCCTTCCAGAAGAGTACTTAGTACAGTGCTTGGCATATAGTAGATACTTACACGTACTAGGTGACTTAAATGATTGCCTAACTCCTTAGGGATTGTGTGTGTGTAACAGATTTTTGGTCAGATATATGTTGTTAGACTAGATGACCTCTAAGGTCCCTGCCAACTAAATTCTGTGTTCTGTAATACTTCTTATTACTGCTCCAGAGGATGACTATTTTTCAACACCTAAAGTTTATCTTAAAAAGGTCAAAATTGCTATACCTTTCATTAGTTCGTTCTTGAGACTGTTTACATAGGTATATAAGGAGGCACCAAACTGTTTTACAAGGCTGAATTGGTTATTTAGGGTTGGAAGCCATTCTTTTTACCTAAATAATACTTCATCTCATCTAAAAGCACAAAGATCCTGATTTGAAGAGTGAGCTAATTTGGTTCCACTAACTTAGTCTCCCATATATTGCAGAAAATGGGGTCCAAGAATTTTAACCTTAAAAATCTAGATAGCAATTCATTGTTCTCAGTTTTAAACTCCAAGAAATATTTGTAACAAATAATGGACTCAAAATGTTCAAACCTGATTTACCACTAAAATAAACCACAAGCTGTATGTAAAGGATAGCATGACTTAGCCATGAATTATCATCTGGGAGAACAAAACAAGGCAAAAAACAAAGAAACAAGATTAGAATTATCAATAGTGAAGTTCTGTTCCCCTCCAATATAGGGGTGTATTATTACATACTTTCTCCAGCATCCTTAGTTCTGTTTCTAGCCATCTTCCAGGAGCAATCCCTATGAAGGAGTCACCATCCCTGCCACAGCTGCAGCCACTGCCACCACCACCACCAAAGCAGACTAAATTAGCCTAGCTGAATGAAGCAATAAGGTGTCCTGATGGCTGGACAAGAAGTAGCACATGCCAGGAGGGTCAAATCATGGTTACCACCTCAAAGTAAGAATGAACACCAACAACCCTCACACCCTGATGAAGACAACTCAGGATCCCCCCCCTCCACATACCTCTGCCACCCAGCCCTATTTTAGCAACCCTAAGCAGAAGGATCAGACCATCCCTGCCACCAGTGGATAGGTAAACTTAAGAAACCCAGCAAGAGCAGTACTCCAGACCACCAGCCTTGTTTCCAGCTCAACACCCATAGCCATTATCCAAGGAAGCAGCTCTCGTGGAGATGTCGTTTGGCAACTACCTCTTCAGATACTGTAGCCCCCGACATCTCAGCAGCCACAGCTCTAAAGTCCCCCCAGATGTTCTCACTGAAGTCTTTGGCACAGTTAAATGGCTCAACATGAGAAACAGGTAGAGTTCTAAAAGAAATGTCATTAAAGAAGATGCATTACCATTTGCCTAGCAGATTACCCTTAAAGACCACTGGGCCTTTCCATGATGATCTTTACATGTTTATATTTCTTCTATTAAAATATGAGCTCCTGAAGTACAGGGCCTATCTTATATTTCTACTTGTATCCCTAGTACTCAGAACAGTACTTTACATGAAGCAATGCATAATAAATTGCTTATTCATTCATTCTAGGAAATCATCAGGGAGTCAATATTAGATACCTAAGGGAGTCATTTAAAGGAGTACATTACTGCTTACCTCCTCCCCACATATCAAAGTATTCAGTGCGTAATGCTTCTCCTGTTTTTCCTATAAAGAGAAATATTTCAGATCAAAATATGTAATTACAGAGTTTTAACTTATGGATATGAAATTATTTAAAAAGTAGCAAGCTAAAAGTAACAAAATTTAAAACTCTAGGTCCTAATAATCTAATTCAAACCTATAAAACATAACAGTGATCATATCAAAAAGGTCAGATGAGAAGAGGGATTCAATTGCTCTCTAATGTTCACCTTCTTTCCTCCTAGGCTAAGAATTCCTGATGTTCCATAATATAGTGCTAACCACTGTGACGGTCCTTTTTTGTCCTTTACTACTATTTGTATATGCTGTCAAACTTCAATAAACATGAGCTCCTCTATAAACAAAGAACAGAAAAAAATGCTTTTAAAAAAATAATACCACTATTAATACTCCCCCCAAAAAACTACTTTCCCTTTTAAGTTAGTGTAACTGAACAAAATAAATATACATAATAGACATGTCTGAAAACACATCTCTCACTCTGCATCGTTAGACTATCAAACTCTGTTAAGAGATGGAACACAAGCTTTCTCACTGCTTGTGGAGTTGTTTCAGTGGTGTCTGACTCTCTGTGACCCCATTTGGGATTTCCTTCATAAAGATGCTAGAGTGGTTTGCCATTTTTTAATCCAGCTCATTTTACAGATGAGGAAACTGAGGCAAAAAGGGGTAAGTGACTTACCCAGAAACACATGGCTAATAAGCGTCTGAGGTCAAATTTGAACTCAGGTCCTCCTGACTACAGGGCCAGAGCTCTATTCACTTTGCCACCTACCTGCACTGTAAGAGTTAAATCCTTTAAAGTTTAATCCTATGTTGTTGCAGTAATTGAATTTGACCTCTTTGAGGTACAGTCCTAATGGTTGTATGGTCTGGTCAAAGAGTATGCTATTCAGTGCTTTTTAGGTCATAGTTCCAAATTGCTTTCCAAAATGAAGTAATTCAAAGCTACATCAACAATCCAATAGGGTAGCTGCCCCTGATAGCTCCAACAATTTTCATTTTCCCTTTTTTGGGTATCTTCCATAATCTAAATAACAGAAGGCAGAACCTCAGAGTTTTAATATTTTTATTTACTATTTTAATAATTATCATTTTATCATTAGTAACCTGGAACATTTTTTATATGGTTGTTACTTGTATTCTTTTGAGAACTGCTTGTTCACATCCCCTTGACCACTTATCTACTGGGCAAGGACTCTTCTTCTTATAGAGTTGAATCAGTCCCCTATATATCTTGATACTGGGGAACAATCTGCTCCCAGCCTCATCCCTGACTTTCTGGATTTCAGAACCATGCCTTCTTTACTATTGGCCCATCGTAGAATTTTCCTCAGCACCTGGGCCCTCCTTGCCCTAGAACAGATTACCTTACTGGGGGCTTACTTACTCCATAATATTCCTCCACAAGGCCCACCCCCTTCTCTCATTGGTAAATTTCTCCTGGAGCTTCCATCTTGAGGATTGCTCAGGCAAGCCTGTCTTCAACCCCCTGACTTTCTAGATTTCAAAACCATATTCCTGCACCAGATACCTTCCTTCTGTTCCCCTGCCCTTTATTTAGCTCTGTTTCATATACTTCCCTCATTAGATGTAAGCTCCTTTAGGCCAGGGATAGTCTTTATTTTTGCTTGTATCTGTATCCCTAACACTTAGCAAAGTGCCTAGCACAAAGCAAGTGTTTAATAAATGTTTTAATAAATATTTAGTGTTTGTTCCTTTTAGACCTTTAGAGAAACTTGCTGCAAAGATTTTTTTTTAATGCTAGCAGAGTTCTACATCCTTCTTTTCTAGCACTAGGTTTCTGTACCTTTTCTTTCATCTCACCTAATTAGTCCTCAAACACAGCCAAGATTTCTCACTTTCCTTCATTCACTAAGCCTATGCTGTTTTAGGTGAAATAAAAAATAAGGGAAGCATTTACACCTTTATTTCTACTCTTATGTAATATTTTTATTGCCTTGATTACAACTAAATGGTCACATAGAGAAAAAGAGTTCATCCAAGAATTTCAGGGTAAAAACTTATTTTGTTTTATGGTTTACAAAAGGGTATATGTAAGCAATTTATTTACCTAAGATGTCATAGCAGCTTTAACTTCCACATCCTAGTATTCTTAGAGTTATAACATTTATTACTATAAAATGGATAAAACTGGTAAAGCATTATTACTGGACTCATGTGATTGGTGCTATACGTTGGTTCTCACTTTTCAGGGTCAAAAACTATTTTATCAATTCACCAGGGTGAATAATTTAATAACTGCTAACCAAGTTCAAAACAGATCAACTCATAAACCAAAATGTCAATTTAATAATTTGCAGTGAGCTTGGTGAATATTTATTTTATGGATTGGTTAGTATGGAAAATAAAACCAGAATGTCGTGTAGTATATAGAAAACCACCAAGCTCCAATAAACCGATATGCTCTTTTCCACTAAAGGGGTACACCATCTAAATAGGCCAGCTACTTGCATGAGCTAGTCAAGACAATTTTCTCCCTGGTCAATACTAGAAAAATATTGAAATCCTTGCTCTCTTTAATTCCAAGCACACAACTACCCTTTGTTCTTACATTATCCCTCTTCGCTTCAGCACACTCAGATACTCTAAGCTCCCAAATTTACAACATGTTTTCATTAACTATACATTAGGGATCAGGTAGGGGTAGAGGTTGATTGTCTGCTTCTTAATGATATTCAAAAAGTATCTTAATGAGAAGGTGATGTGCCTAAATACAATGTAGGAAAGGTTATTCCTGAGAACAGAAACAATTCCAATGCTAGAATGTATATTGTTTTTCACCTCTATTAAAAGAACAATACTTTCTAGTCTTTTCAAGCCTCCAAGATTCCTATATTCCCTGAATACAGGATTAAAGCTAAATCACACATACCATTTACCAATGCAACATTGATTCCTCTTCCAACATTATTCTTTACACCACTCATTAAACTGAAGAAGAAGAAAAAAAGACAAATTTCAGAAGCAATTATTTCACATAGTAAATACAGGGTCTAAAAATGAAGTAATGAAAAAACAGAATAAATAGCATAAAGTATGTAATATATTCAACAGTATAAATTTAACATAGGAAAAACTAAATCAAAAAGATGCTTTTGTATATATGCAATGATTATTTAAAAATTTATTTCAATATGACTTAACTATAAACAATATACTAAAAGACTGAGGCTATAAAAGGTATAAAAAAAGATCAAGATGTTTCTTGATGAGTTGTCAGACTATAAAATATTTCCTAAGGAATCCCTTACAGTATATATGCATTGAAAGTATGATAAAACAATTCTGCACCTGCCTTCAAACAAACAAGTGACCTAATTTAGTTTTCATTTCCCATAACAACTTAATATATAAGATCGATCTAGGTCAAAAACTGAAAAGAGAAATAGGCTACACTGAACCTGGGAAGCAATGAAATTATTTTCAGTAACCTCCAAGCTGCTTGCAACTGAAAAAATCATATTTCTAACACTGGTATTATCTTGAAAATGCTATATGGCTGAGAATTATGTAACACTAGCATCTCAGAAGAACCACAATCATACTCAAAGAAAAAAAAAGGGAGATAATTAAGCTACCATTTGTTAATAAAGATTTGCAAAAGAAGATCAGTATAAAAGATATCATTAAAGACATGAATGACCATAAGAAAAATTTGTCCTGCTCATGATGTTAAGTGAGGGATAAGAGCCCAAGTACTAAAATGGTAGCCACAGCAAATAATTAAAAAGACAAGTCTCCATCCAACATGTCAGGTAGATCTTCTTTGGAGGGCTAACACAAAGACTTAGACAAAACATTCCCCAGGATGACAAGGCATAAAGGGATTAAATCTGTACCTACAGAAGGAGTACTAAAGAGATCATAGATTCATTTAGAAAAGCCACTGATAGATCTAAATTTACTGACATGGAAGTTTAACTTACATTAACAAAGGAAGAGTCACTTAAGAATAATGAAAGGTTAAATGACTTGCCCACAGCTAATTTGTATCAGAGGCACTATTTGAACCTAGGTCTTAGTGGGGCCAAGAACAGCTCACAGGTCAACTCCCAGAGGTTCCCCATGTTTTTTATTCTGAGAGCTCCTTCGGACAACAAAAAATGATGTGAACCACCAGAGTAATTTAATATACAACTTACAATTTTCATAAGCAGTTACTACTGCCTAAGGTGCCATTAAAGAATATTCAGTGTGAACCCCTCGGGCCATTGTCATGGAATTCACAAATCACTAACCGGGAACCACTGCTCTATGGCATGCTTCCTCTTACATGCTCAGATAGAAACAACAATTTGCACCAAAATTACATTCTGAAATTTAACTTGCATTACAGAACCTCAGTAGGAAGAGACTTCAGAGACCAAATACAACCACAGCTAAACAAGAATCTCCTGAATACTCTATCTCTATCTCTCTCACACACACACAAATCTCCACTTTTGGAAAGTTCTAATTGTTTGGAAGTGTTTGGATTTTGTTGGGTTTTTTTTCCCCTTTCAGCAAGTCTAAATTTACCTTTCTTCAAGTTCCATCCATACCAACTAGTTCTGCCCTTTGGGCCCAAACAGAACAAGTCTATCTACTTTTTCCATTGAGTATCCCCTTAAAATATTTCAAGACAGCTACCTTGATCTTCCTTTTCTCCTTCCCCTTCTCTTCTCCAGGCCAAACAATCCTCATATGACATGGCCTCAAGGCTCTTCATCATCCTGGTTATTCCTAAAATGTGGTGTGCCAAGAACTGAACAAAGTACAGAGGACTATCATATCTAGTCCAGGGTACTATTCTTTCAGTACAGTCTAAGACTGCATTACCCTGCTTTAACTGTCACACACAGCTCATAATATTGACCTTGCAATCCACTAAAACCCCTAGATATTTTTCAGAAGATCCAGCCATGTCTCCTGTATTGCTTTTTGAACTCAAGCCTGAGAAACTACATTTATCCCTATTAAATTTCATCTTAAGATCATACCAAATCCTGACTTAAGATCATACCAAATCATCATCTACTGTTAGATACCTTTTCTAGCCTTTGTCACCCACACACTTTGACAAACACTCCAGCCATACCATTAAGCCATTAATAAAAACTTTTAAATTCTCCTAGACACTTTAGGGAAGTCACTGAAAATAAAAACTGAACAAACACTAATGACTGCTCTTTCAGTCTAGCCATTTGTCTATAGTTTGAAATCCCCAAGAATAGCATGAGAGAATTTATCAAATGTTTGGCTACAATCTAAGAAAGGCCTATCTATAGTGCTACTTGGGTAACTAGAAAGAAAGTAGCGCCCTCAAAAGAAACAGGGATGTTTGAAGCAGGAGGAGGTAGACAAGGGATGACAAAGATGAATTCTATCTTAACATGTTGATTTTTGAGATGCTTATAGGACAGCCAGATGGAGATCTGCAAAAGTTGGAGCCCAGAAGACTGATTTAGGCTAGATAAAAATTTAAGAGTCATCTGCATAAAAATAATTTAATCCACGAGTGTTGACAAGACCACCATGAGAACAGATATCTATATATATAGAGAGAGGGGAAGGCTCAGGACAGACTTGGAGAGGGAAGGTAGGGGGACACATGAATAATGATCTAGCAAAGAAGGCTAAGAAACAATGGTAGAAGCAAAACAAGTATGAGAAAATGTTATTAAATCCAAAGGATTTAAGGAAGAATACTGAGGAAGAAGAGGTGGAAAGTATCAAAAGCTATGAAGATGTCAAAGAGATAAAATGATAAAAGGCCATCAGATTTAGCAATTGAGATAATCAGTAACCTTGAAGAGAACAGTTTTAGTAGAAAGGTGGGGCCAGAAGTCAGATTACAAACAGCTGAGCAGTAAAGCAGGAAGATTAACATGCTGAAACCAAATCTGCCATATTTAGAGCAACCACACTGAAGAATCAAATCTTAAAGTTTGTTTACTTTGTTCCTTTGAAATCAGCATTGTGATATACGTAGAAATTCTTAATAAACTGAACTACAAAAGGTTTGATTAACTTATTAGGTGATAGCACACAGCCTTTCAAAGAGATCTAGGTAAACTAACTAAATGCCAATGTAATTTTTTACTAATAAACAGATGATGCACACTTTTATCCAAAAAGGAATAAACTAGGAATATGCAACCCTTAATGTAATTTGCTGCAACTACAAGGGCTGTCTCATTCATTACTTGAAAGAAATCTAATACTGTGATAATGAAAAAATAAGTGATCAAGTAGGATGAAAGATTTCCACAAGATGGCAGCATTTCTATATGCTAATTTAAACATGTATATTTTGCCAAAATTAAAAATCAGGCCTGTAGTAAATTAAAATTGTAAAGAGGGTACAGATTTTCGACTGCATAAAAGTCAGTCAACCCAAAGGCAGAATTATAATTTATCAGGCTTCATAAATTATGATTCTTTCAAAACCAGAGTTTAATGACAATTACCATAAAAGTTAAAATGCTACTCCGCATTTGTTTGTCCTACTTTAAAATTTCATCTATTTTTATTTAAATTCTTTCATAGCTCTTTTAAACTTGGATTTTCCTTAAAAACTACTACAATTCTCACTATGATCTAGCAAAGATGTTTATTTTTTCATAGACAGTTTACAATTATTCATAGATTAAATCTGTACAAATCTAAATTGGCTATATGTACCAAAAAATAAAAATAAATAATTTTTCCTTTTAGTGTTAGCAGATACAAATAATTGGTAGGTTTTTTTTCCTGTCATATAATTAATGGTTTCTAACATGACCTCTATCTAGAACAAGAGTTCTTAACCTGAGATCTGAGTTTGTTTTATGTGAGGGAGAGGGAAGAGAAAATAAGGCTCCTCCTATGTACCAGACACTGTGCTACAGGCTTTATAAATATTATCACATAACTTTTTTTTTAATAAATATTATCACATGACATTTAAACCAATTGCACTTTTTTTTTTAGAGCCTATGTCTTTCAACTTTATGCATTTAAAAATATTTTTTTGAGAAGGGGTCCATAGGTTTAACCAGACTGCCAAAAGGGCCCATGACACAAAAAATGTTAAGAATCCCTAATCTAACTTCAAAGAATTATTTATTGTGTTTTAAATAATATATAAAACTCAGGTTAAGATAATTCTTTGCTTAAGAAAGAAGTCACACCTATTCTTTAGAAGAGCTTTCAAAAAGAAGAACTGGTCAGCCTACATTCTAGCAGTGTGACCTTGGGCAAATCATTTCACTCCTATGCACCTCATTTTCCTCACTGGAATTAGCTGACCTCCAACATTCCATTCTAGCACTAAGGTTCTATAATGCCTTTAGGGAATGCTGGAGTGAGGAGATAAAGGTCAGGCCTCATTCCAGTTTTACAGATGAATAAACTATCTCCAAAGTCACAGGATCCTAGATCTACAGCAACTAAGGAGAACTTAAGAGGTAACCTAGTCCAACCTCCTTATCTTACAGATACTGAGCTCAAAGGTTAAGTGACTTGCCCAGGGTCACTGGGAAAGTAAGCAGCAGAGCTGGGATTTAAAACTAGATCCTCTGACTCCAAATACTGAATTTCTTACACAGTACCACACTGCATCCGACTGAAAGGCCAGGACTAGAATCTATATTCTCTGGCTCAGAATTTCCTTTACTAAATCGTAACTGCCCACACAACATTTTCCCTTTTAAATGGTCTTTTCTAGAGTAAGCACATAGGCTTGTAGGTTAATGACTACCTGATTCCTTTTCCTTAACATTAACAATCAAAAACTTCCCAAGTTATCTTAGAAATGATGTTGTAGATAGGTAAATGTGATCAAGTGAGAGCCAGGCATTCAAACAAAAGAATCCTTTCTCCCCATTTTCTAACAGTCAAACTAAACGAAAGGCTATATAAAAGAAGAAAATGTTCTAAATAAATGCATAGCATACTGATTAAAGCCAATAAGTCTCCATCTAAAAATTTATTTTTTTTACACTAGATTTATGTCCAAGTTAAGCCTGTAACTGAGAAAACAGTATCATGAAATTAAATACAGCATCCTAACATATAACTTAAGTATTTAAGGCTGTATGGCACAGTGAATAAAAAGTCTAGTTTCCCTTAGCTGTGTAACCTTAGGCAAATCACTTAACTTTTCAGTGCTCCAGGCAACTAAGACTATTAATTACAAAATAATTAAATTACAGAAAAATTAGGAATCTGCACTGATGGCAGGAATTTGCTTACCACAGTTCAGTTCGCTATAGAAAGAAAATCATAGCTCTAGCTCAGGGGTGGGGAACCTGGGCCACATGTGGCCTTCTAGGTCCTTGGGTGTAGCCCTTTGACTCAGCCCAAGTTTTACAGAACAAATCCTTTTATTAAGGGGATTTGTTCAGTGAAGTTTGGATTCAGTAGAAGGGCCACTCATGAGGACCCTGAGGTCCACATGTGGCCTTGAAGCTGCAGGTTCTCCATCCCTGGTGGAGCAAAAAAAAAAAAAAGACTTTTTTTATATAGCTCAGCAAAAGAATAAATTTTATTATATTTAACTTCATTCAATAAAAAAAGTCACATTCTTGCATATGCAAGATATTCAAAGGTCAGTGACAAGGACCTCAAATTACTAGTGGAAGACCTATAGAAATCATAATTTAAAGCTCTACTGAACCAATGCCTTCAATTTATCAAAGAGGAAAATGACTCCAACAGGGCAAGTGACTCATTTAAGTTTACAGAACTTTACAATAGCAGAACCTGTATTTAGTATTCCAATACTAAATATTAAGTCCTAAAGCTAGCAAGTTTAAAAATGCTTAAATTTACTGCAACCACAAAAATGCTACACTGTTACCTGGTTGTGACATTTTGTTTCATTTTTATTCACCACAGTCTCAGTCAAAGTAATGCATACATTACTGGGATGTGTTTTTTGTTTTGGTTTGGTTTTTTTGCAATAAATTTAAGTATTCTTGTTAACAGATTTTTACATGCCTTTCCAAGTGTCCTAGCAACAAAAGACATCACAAAGTGCCTTGATGCCTGGGGTTTCCAACTAAAGAAAGCCAGTCTTAGGTAGGCTTTAAGAGATAGATGGTGCAGTGGAAGCAGGGCTGTATTTGAAAATTAAGCAAGTGAAGGTACATTCCAGTTCTGCCTGTCACTATCTGACCTTGGGCAACTCATTCAGCCTCCCTCCACATTCTGGATCTCTCATCTGTAAAATTATAGTGTTGAATTAAATAAAACCTCCATGATTTCCATTCCAAATCGATGAGCCTAGAAGTTTACTATCTGGTTATTTTTTCATATCTGTATTCCAACATCAATTCTAAAAAAAGAATTTTGAAGGAAATCTAGTATGCTATGCAAGAAATATTCAAGGTACTTCTGAAATTTGGTTTGTTGGTAAATGTACTCCCTTGAAACAAAATGGCAGCTAGTAAAAGTTTACAAATGGGGCTATGTTTTACAATGCAATTCTATAGCATACAGAATCATTAATTATATAATACCAACCTCAGGAAAGAAACATACTATTTGGAAAAATTTAACAAAAATATCAAAAATCAAAAGTATCAATTTAGCTCAATTCCATAAATAAGAGTATCCAACAAAATGACTAAAAATTGCTCATCTTTAGTTCCTGATGCCTTTCTTTTGAAATCACTTTAATTACAATAACTAGAAGCAAGTTTTTCTGTTGACTACTTTAACCTTCAACATTACTTAGAGATGTACTCCAATATAAGACAAGTTAGTACTTTTTAAAAAATTACTGGACTACTAGCTACTAATCAAGAAAATATTTGATTCTGCACATGAAATAAAAATTTTTGAAAAGGCTTAATATACATCATTAAAACTGAACTAAAAGTTGACCTTTGAAATCTCAAAGCTCTATAGCAAAATTAAATTACATATGGTACAAAGGTTAGCTTTGTCAGAAATAGGAACAGAAAGCTCTAAAGGATTTCCCAAAAACCCATGGTTCCTTGCCTCTATAATATACAAACTTCGTAAATATATAAATATCAATTTATCTGACGATTAGATTTCTAGGAACCCCAGTCTCCTCAACTACAAAATATAATAATAGCATTGCTTCCCAGGTTTGATATGAGGCTAGCTGTTGTTATTGCTGTTGTGGTTAAGGATATGTGCCTGAGCTTTTTGAAGAAAACTAAGGGATTTTTGAGAAGGAGGTGAAGAGGAAGTGCATTTCAGAGTTGGAAGACTACTTGTGCAAAGCCACCAAGGAAGATAATATTAAGTTTTCTAAACAAACAGTAACATCATTCTCCGATTCTTAAAAAAAATTCTCTTAAAAGTTTCAGAAAAATAGATAATATGCCTTTAAAAATTAAGTAATGACTGTGAAAACACTACCTGGAAAGCTCTATGTACATGAATTATTAGCAATTAAAATACGAAAATTACCTTCAGCAAAGTTAACAAGACTCTTTCTAAAAGACTTATTCCAACTCAGCTTTAGAGGTTATATTAGAAAGATAAATTCATGATATCAAAATGTTAAATTCATAAAATTATAGTTCCAAGTTTATACCAATACTTACATATTGTCTTCTACACAAATTTTGGGGCCAACGACATTAGCTGCTCCACTTGCCATTTTGAAGGCAAAATGCTTTTCTGGACAAGCTTTTGAAATCCCACATTTATATCTGGGAGGTTTTGTATCTTTAGAGAAAATAGATACGATTTCAAAATAAAATAGTAATAGTACATACACGACTATAATCAATGATTCTTTTTTCTCACTGCAAAGTAAGCAACGCACTAAGTGACCAATCAAGTGTTAACTACATCCTTTGAATGACATACAAAAAAATGAAATGGCATATTAGAAATAAGTGGGAATCAGATTTTAGTTCTAATCCCTAGTCTAGGTCACTAACTAGGTGTAACAACTCTGAGTCTCTGAGTTAAGTAATTTAACCCCTTCATGCCTTTACTTGCAAAATGAGCATGTTAGATCGGATTACCTCTAGACTATCTAAAATTGAGTATACAATATTTAATAAATATACTAGCTATATGTTCAGCTATAACTCTGTGTATGTGTGTATTATATCAGTGAACCTTACATTTATATTGGAAAATTTGTTTTCTCAGAACTCAAAAAAGCTTTCTAAATGTTTAATCAACAGGTCCTAGGTGGCATACTAGTAACTGAGGTAAAATAAGTAAACCTGACTAAGAAAGATAGATCTGAGCTCATGAATTAAATGTTTTCAATTTTTTCCCCCATTTAGAGACAGGCATTTTTGAGTCTTAAATTTCATTTTAACTTTAGTCAAACCCTATGCTAAAAGGCCAGTCTATATAGACACTGAAACAAATATACAACTTAAGCATTTAGAAATATTTTTTAATGTACTTGGGTATATTTATCTATATACTAACTCCTTTAGAGTAAATATCTCTTCTCCATTCTGTCAACTATCATGCCTCTAACTTCTATTAATCTTAGTTTTTTTTTTACTATGGATTTTAAAAAGGTCTTAAACCAACAAATATGATGGTGAGGTCTATAGTTTCTACTATTAATGAATGAAGTAAAGTGAAAGGATATTAGCCTTTTTGTGAGTGTCATGGACTCACTAGATAGTCTGGAGAAGCCTACTGATACCTTCTCAAAATAATATTTTAAAAATATTAAAATGATATGATATAAAATGAAATACATAGGACTACAAAGGAAGCTAATTATACTGAAATATGGTTGTCAAGATTTTCCCCCCAAAAGTTCACAAATGCCAGGTTAAGAACCCCTGCTGTAAAGAACAGTAAAAACTGAAAAATAACTTATTTCTCATTTGAAATTATTTCACTTCTAAGTCAATTCTGTATGTTAAATTTCACAATACGCAAACTAACATCAGTGGAAGATATGCCTCCTAAAAAACTACACATTATTGAACCATATTACAAAAGAAACTTCTTTTGAGATATATAATACTTACAAGCTATCTGTAGTGCTGACCTTGCTAAAATAAAAAACACACATAAAAAAGTCAAAGTTAACTTCAGGCAAAGAAATTAAATGTGAAATGTATCTATTATATATATATATATATGTATATATATATATGCATATATATATACACATATATATATGTCTACACACACACACATACACACACACACACACACACACACACACACACATATACCCTCCATACCACAGTGAAAATAAAGCATGTTGAAAGAGAAATCAGCAAGAATAGTTAACATATGCAAAATACCCATAGTTCACAAAGCGGTATGTTTTAATACAGACAGCAAATACAATTATCATCTTTAATTATTATCATAAATTTAAGTCCTAATCAGGCAGACGTTCCATATATTAAACTGTGATTGCCACATATTCAATAGCCATCATTGCTAGCAATAAAACATCACTTCAAAATTATTGCCAGCATTTGAAAATTTTTTTCAAAAATTCAAACAAACTAGAGATTTCTAAGTTACTAAACACAGGATCTTAGATTAAAAGAAGCAATCTAATCTAAAATTATATGCCATACAGTAATTCCCTCTACACTTGATACAATTTAGCTTTTCTAATTGGCCAATTTCACTGATGGGCAATTTACTACACCTAAGAAGGTACAGCCTATTCCATTTTTGGCCTCTATTTTTTAGTTAATTTTTCTTCATGCTTAGTCGAAAATATGTCTCCATCTAACTTCTATCCACCGGGCCTACTTTTACCCTCTAAATAAGTCGACTGCTTCTTCTACATGTGTACCCTAAAAGTGCCTGAAGATAAAATATGTTCTGGATCCTCTCTAAAATAAACCAGAATTTCTCTGACTTTTGCTTCTACACCATGGTTGAGAATGCCTTTACCTTCCTGTTCAAACAATCAACCACATACTTATTAAGTGCCAATACTGTGCTAGGAACACAAATACAAACATACACACACTCAGACACACAAATGAAATGATCTCTACTCACATGGAACTTACCTGGTAAAATGAAGCAAACAATAATTACATATAAAAATACATACAGCATTAATATAACATTATAAAAGCAAACATATACAACATAGTTTGGACTAAGGAAACTAGTAGCTGGGAGATTAGAAAAGGGTCCGCGTAGAAGATGGTACCTGAGCTATGTTTTTTTTTCTTCTTCTTCTTCTTTTTTAGGCATGTGGGGTTAAGTGACTTGCCCAGGGTCACACAGCTAGTAAATCTCAAGTGTTTGGTCTGAGGCCACGTTTGAACTCAGGTCCTCCTGATTTCAAGGCCAGTACTTTATCCACTGCACTACCTAGCTGCCCCCTGAGCTATGTTTTAAAAGAGAGGTCTCTGAAGAAGGATGGAAGAAGAGAATTCATCCAGTAATGTAGGGTGGGCAGCACAAAGACACGGAGACAGGAGATGGAGACTTGTGTGCGTGAAAAAAGAAAAGGCTAGTTGTGCTGGATTCCAGAGTGTTGGAGGAGGAATAATGTCCAATAAAGCTGGAAAGATAAGGTGGGCTCAGACAGCATAGGACTTTAACAGCTAAATAGAGGAGTTTATCTTTTATCCCTGAGGAAATGAGAGTTAGCCATTACAGTTGACTGAAAAGGGGAGACACATGGTCAGATCTGCACTTAAAGAAAATTACTTCAGCAGAAATATGTAGCATGGGCTGGAACAGTGAGAAACTTGAGTAAGGTAGAACAATTAAGAGATTGTTGCAATAATGTAGGTGAAAGGTAGGAGGGGTCTGAACCAAGATGGTAGCAGGTGTGTGTGTGTGTGTGTATGTGTAGAAAATGAGCAGGACACGAGATACAAAATTTTGTAACTGAATGGATATACAGGATGAGGGAGGGTGAGGCAGTTGAGAATAATGCTGAGGTTATAAACCTGGGAGATCAGAATCAAGAAATTTCAAAAAGGAAAGGGTTTATAGTAAAAGATAATGAGTTCTATTTTGGAGTCTGCAATGTCTTCTGGGGAATTCTAGTTTGAGATGTTCAATAAATGATGCAGGGTGGAAAGACTGAGGCTGGTGACAGACATATATAGATGAATAGACATACATACAACATACATACACACATGCACATATATAATCTACACAAATATATACATATGCACATATATAAAATATATACACATATGTATACATATATATGGATAGATAAGCTATAGATATGTAAATATATGTATATTGCAACAGCTCCTATACATATTTATAAATTTTAATAAATATAATTATCTAGACCACAGGCAGATACACAGACAGACACAACCATGTGCATTTATGTCTGTGTCCGTCTGTCCACATGTGTCTATCTGCCTGGGTATTTGTTTTTCTGACCACTTGTTAGTGTCTGCCTATATGTCCTTGTGCCTGTGTTGTCTCTCTGTCTGTGAGTCACCTGATTAGGTTACCAAGATGAAGAATATAGAGGGAGAAGAGGGCCTAGGACAGAACCTCGGGAAAGGTATACAGAGTTATGTAATGTGGATGATGAGCCAGCAAAAGAGCAGTCAGACAGATAGAAACCAAACCAGGAGAGAGTAGTGTCATGAAAAGCCAGAAGAGGAAAAACTACATAAAAGGAGAAATGCTCTACAGTGCCAGAGGCAGCAGATAGGATGAGAAAAGTATTAAAACTTAGAAAAGACCATCAGCCTTGGCAATTAAAAGGACATTACTAACTTCAGAGAAAGATTTAATTGAACCATGAGGTCAGAAGTTAGGGAATTAGGACAGAAAGTAGTTTATTGTGGGAACGGGGTGAACCACATTAACTCCATCTTATGACTCAATTCTGAAGTTTTCTCTTTCTATTCAGTTTGGGTCTAGTCCAACTTTGTTTTGTGAGAAAACTTTATTCAATTGTGGGAATTGAGAGAAAACCTTACTGCATTGTTTGAACCTAACCCTGCATGGCTGGGAAGCTGGAACAACTCTATCTGCTGCTTAGAGATCCTTATCTAAGGACCTAGGTTATGCTGATCAGACACAAAGACTGACACAAAAAGTTTTCTCACAATTGTACATCTCAAGCAACCCATGTCTTATTTGAAAACTGGCCCCATACTGATCAATTATTGTTTGTATGTTCCTTTGATTATTTACAGCCACTTGAAGGGAGTCAGATACCTCTTTTTCTGAATTCAAGGAACTGTACCTATTTACTCTCCCCGTCCCAAAGTGGAAAGTCCCTAATCTTTCCTCCAATTAGAAATCAGATTACCTAATGCTGTATTGTTTCTTTTAACTAATTTGCTTTATTTGATTGTTTTTAATGTATAAAAGTCTGTCTGACCCTGTATTCAAGGTCCAACCTCAGCTAAGAAAGGGTCCTGGTCCTGACATGTTGGGCAACTGACATGTACTGCTTCATAAATCAATATGTTTGGAAGATCGAACCTTTGTTTTTCTCAGTCATTTCATCTTTCACCTGCCAGATTCTGGCTTCTCAGACTGCAAAGCATGAGGAATAAGAAGACAGGAAGTGGAGGAAGCATGTATAGATAGTTTTTTAAAGGAGTCTGGCTAAGTAAAAGGGAAGGGATAGAAGTGGTAACTTGAGAGGGTGATAGGGTCCAGCGAAGAGCTTTTTTCTGTGTTTTTAAGGATGGGGGAGGCTTGGGCATGTCTGAAGGCAGAAGGAAAATAATAAAATGATTGGGAGAAGCTGAAGATTGGGCAGTATAGGAGAATAGGAATAGGTGAGTATGAACATAATCCACTAGAGAAGAGAGAAGTGGAGAAGATAAGAGCACACATGTAGAAATGTTGGCCATGGCAAGGAGAAAGGTCACCTCTTAGTGAGAGAAAGAAGTAAAGTCAGAAATTGTATCAAGATATTTCCAGATAAACAGAATGAAGAAAGCTTGAGCTCTGGTCTCAGTTTTCTTGGTAAAGAGGCATTGTCTTGGCTGAGATATAGGAGGGCAGGATATGGATTGCTTAAAGAGGGAAGACAAAGTTGAAACAGTTTCTATGAGGAGTCAGACTGGGAATCAAGGAGCTAGGAATTAAAGATTTGCTTAGTGTTGGCAATGCTCCTTCTAACATGTACTGAACAGAATGCTACAGGGGTGATCTGATTAGCAGCACAAAATACAATGGGACTATAACTTTCCTTGTTCTAGATTCTGTATTTTTATTGACATTGACTAACATTGAACTTGCAGTAAACTAAAACCCTGTCCTACAGCCAGGCAGTATTTTTTTTAAAAGCTTAAGTGTAGGACTTTACACTTATCCCTACTATATTTCATCTTGCTAGGTATGGCCTGTTGTCAAACATCTGATAGCACCTATTTGAATCCTGATTCTGAGATCTAATTTACTAGCTATTTTTCTCAGCTAAACATGATCCAGAGTATCAAGCAGGACAGTGAAAAGTCTGGAAACCAAGTCATACATAAAAGTGTTAAAGGAAATTGGGATATTTAGCTTGCAGAAGAACAGCATTAGGGGATATATAATCATTATCCTGTCATGTGAAACAAGGATCAAGTTTATTTTGTGTGGCTCCAAAGGCAGAAAAAAGACTAATAGGCAAAATATACAAGTAGGCAGATTTCAACTCATAATTATAAAAACTACCAATTAGGGATGTTTAACTTAAAAAAAAAAAAGAATGGATTTGTCTTTTAAGTCAGCTTCCCATCACTGAAAGGCTTCCAATAGGAACTAATTACTACATCTATCAGATATTATAAAAGGGATTTTCAAGTTGGGTAGGAAGACTAGACTAGATAGACAGTCTCCCAACATACTGAGTCTCTCCTGAATCTATCAACAGTGCTACTTTCACTCCAAGCATATAAGGTCAAAGCCTTACGTTTTATCCAGCTTCATATTTTCACTGACAGCATAAAACTGTTTCAAACAATACCTCAGCTAAATGATTATCCCATTACAACTATGAGAATCTACAAATAAGGCCAATACCTTTTGTCTTCAAATACCATAGGTCTTTGGTAAATGTGTTCTAATATGTTCTGGTGATTCAGCAACAAACTTGGATTTATTTAACTTCCAGAGCTTAAACGAGTTATGTACTCAAATTAATATATTCTTTCCATTTTTTATGCATGTAAATATTTAAATTATAGTCTTTATGACTAGTTATTTGGGGAAATACACTTTGTGCTAACTACATCCTGAAATTCAGTAATTTTTAAAATGGCTGTTTTAAATATAAAACAAAAAGAACTGAAAACTAAAGGAGAGTCTATCAACTGGGGAAAAGCTAAATAGATTACAGTAATAAAAGTAATAAATTGTACCATAAGAGATGATGAAAGGGACAGTTTTGTATGATCTGATGCAAAATGAAGTGAACAAAATTGGGAGAACAATTTAACAGTAACAAAAACACTGTAATGACAAACACCTTTGATCTTAAGGACCCTGATCAACCCAGTGACCAACCATGATTCTAGAAGACCACTGATAAAGCATGCTACCACTTACTAGCCTGAGAAAGGTAATATACTCAAAATATAGAATGACATATATATATCTATATGCACACTCATTTACTTACTGCCTGACAAAAGAAATGTACTCAAAATACAGAAATATACACACTCACATGCATATATGAGTATATATATCTGGATATGTATATCTCTATCTCAGTCTATACACATACATAGATATATACACCTATATATACAATGCAAACATATTGTAACCAATTAGGGGAATTGTTTTTCTGACTATGCATAAACATTACAAGGGTTTTCTTTTTCTTCCTTTACCCCCCAAGGTGGATGGGTAGAGAAAATGCCATTTTTGTTCCTTTAAAAAAATTACTGAATTTCTTTTTCAAAATTAAAAAAAAAAGTTCCCCCATCTCAGAAACATTGAGGATATATATTCCAATTTTGTTCCCTTCTATGACATCACCTTGCACATAGTATGTGTTCCATAAATAGTGGCTGAATTATCTATACTTTGTATTTGGTGATTTTAAAAGCCACTACTATTTGCATTTCAATATTACAAAGGATCAAAATAACATAACCAAATTTACTTTTCTTAGAACAGATAAAATAAAACAGCAACTCAGAGTAAGGAAAACTTGTAAACTACATGTTATAAAGAATAAAAGTTAAAAAGAAACAGAAGAAACTTACCAAATAAATTTCCTAAATTTGAATCTAGCTTTATTTCAAATACTTGAGATATAACATAAAATGTCAGTAGAAATACTGCTACAGCAACCACCAACTTCACAGCACCTAAAGAATAAGGAACAGTTAAGTAATTTCATAAAATGTTCATTTTTTTTAAACAAGAGTGTGGAATAATCCTAAGTGTAGCATAAATAATCACAAATCACAATACAATGATCAGTGAATGAAAGTTAGCAAGTAGCATGATGGGCTCAAATAATTTTTAACCATGTTAAACCTGTCTAGCGTACTAAAGTGTCCGATGCAAAAATGCTCATTAAAAATCACTGAGAACACCTGTGTATAACCACTACAATAAATGTTTTATTATTACTGGAAAAAACATTTGAGCGATAACCAGTAGAATCATTTTCCTATATACAAGGTAACACAGAAGAATATTACAACACACACAACCAGAGAGGCAGTGTGAATGACAATTTATACTGTTAAACAATGTAATAAAGTACAGAACAAGTTACTTGAAAGGTAGTAAGTTATATTGGTTGTACTAACCTTGGCAGGCAGGGGAGTGATAACTTTTTACTGGCTACCACAAATGACCTTAAACCTTGTCCCACTATCCTCTAGTTCCCCAACTCTGCTCCAAAACCCACTACAATTGTGTTTTGTCAGTTTGGGAGGCTGCTTTTGTTTTTAGTCCCCTCCAAGCTAGAGCTGTAAAGAAAGGCATAGTTAGAAGCAGGCATCAAGGAGTGGAGTGACAGCAATTTTCTCCAGGCTTCTCCAAACAGGACAGAACACTGCTTTTAAGAAAGGGTTATCCCTTAACACTAGGCAAAGGAAGCAGAAACCAAGGGTCACCATTATCTAATGAGCAGGGAAAGGAAGGAGAGGAATATGCATTTATTAAGTTCCTACTAAGTGCTAGGCACTTTAAAAATATTATCTCATTTTATCTGCCCAACAGCCCTTCAAGGTAAGTACTACTATTATCCTAAGGTGCACACAGCTAGAAAGCCAGAGGCCAGAGCTGGGCTCGTGTCTTTCTGACTCCAGGCCCTGTGCTCTATGCACTCACTATGTCACCAGCGGCTTCAACAACCCAATCAGCAATATAACTTAAAAAAAAGAAAAAAGGATATACAGGGTACGAACTAGTCTAGGAAAAATTAGAAGGGCTGTACGAGCTAAATAAGGATACCATTTCTACAGTCAACTGTGGGAAGGAGAGATGGTAAATAAGTGGGACAAGAAGTTACTCTAAGGCCCTTCTAAAAACTCTCAGAAACAGTGAACCAAAGCTACCCAAGAGGTATGCCCTCCTTGCTTCTCCAACAGATCTCATGCCCAAACCAGGAACAACTTGGGCCTTTGGTTTCAGACAGGAAGCTTGTGGAGCTGGAGGGAGAGGAAGAAGCAAAACTGCTTCCCTTTAGTAGAGATGTTGGGCAGTCAGAGGACTGGTCACATGGAAAAATGAAGAACAGGGCATGGAAGAAGAGCAAAGGTAGTAGAAAAAAGGCTTTAAGCCACCTTCTCACACATTGAGCCTCTAGCTTCCTAGGCCTGGGAGGAAACTCCCTGGGGCTAACAGAGGCTGACCTTCCCTCTAGTGAGTCAACAAGCATTTAATAAACACCTACAGAAGTGCCCAAGTGCCACTGCCTAAAATTTGCTTTATCTGTTGATTAACAAGCACTTACTAGGTACCAGGCACTGGGATATAGAGAGTGAAACAATCCCTACAATTCAAGGGATTTAGTTTTATACTTATATACATGAAACTTCTCAAGACTAAACACATCTGAAATAAAATTTAAATTTATTATTTCTACAATAGGCAGCATGGCACAGTGAAAGAGAGCTGAAACTCTAAATCAACAAGGTTCAGCTCCTGCCTCTGAAACATACTGGCTGTGTGATCTTTGGTAAATCATTTAATCTCTCAGTGCCCCAGGTAACTCTCAAAGACTAAAACTTGAAGACTAAGTACATTGGTACATCAAGTTTCTTCACAAGAAATTACCTATCAATGAAATCACAGGTCCAGTCCAAAAAAAAAAAATTGTTCAGCCACAGTATATCTCCAAGGCCATCTACTAAATCATGCTGTGACAGGGAAAGGAATACCTATATCAACAAAATCAGAGATTCCTGAAGTATATTTGAGCACTAATCTCTTTTAAAATGATAGGTTTTTTGTCGTTTTAAAAAAAACATTTCTAAAAATGGCTACATTAAAAATCACAAATTTTTTGTTAATGTGTCCCTTAGTGGTCAGCATTGTAAAAGAAAAGGCACTGGGGGGCAGCTAGGTGGAGCAATGGATAGAGCACCAGCCCTGAAGTCAGGAGGACCTGCGTTCAAATCCGGCCTCAGACCAAACACTTGACACTTACCAGTTGTGTGACCCTAGGCAAGTCACTTAACCCCAATTGCTTAGAAAAAGAAAACAGAAAAAAAAAAAGAAAAGGCACTAGAGTCAAGAAAAGTCTGGGTTCTAGCCCCAGCTCTACCACTAGATAAATCCAGGTTACTTAGAGCAAATCACTACCTCTCTAAACCTTAATTTCCACATTTGTAAAATGAGGGATTGAGATACATAATTTCTAAAGTCTCTTCCTATTCTAAAATTACATTATTTAATGACTTGTTTGTTCTAACACATCTTTGATAATTCTGAGAAGTATCTCCTAGGAATACAATCTATTGTTTGCCTATGAGATAACAGGTAATTAAAATTACCTAATCTCTATGCTGGGCAGGTATTTAAGAGTAGCAGCTACCTCCAGGGCACAGAAAATCCACAGAAAAGAAACATGGTTTCAATGTAAAGCTAAAGAAAATTCCAAGCAGAAAAGGGAAATAGAAAACCAGATCACTAAGATACCCCACATCCCTCCAACTATCTTCGGAACAATGTATTGTTTTATACTTACAGTCCTTAACAAAAACCATTTTTATATTTTAGTAGTTTGTGTAAATATTTAATAATGCCTTCCCTAGTCTAACAGACAAAAGTTTTTACTGCAAAATATCTAGTCACTGGCCCTATTTATTCCTTACATATGTATTTTACTGAACCCTCCACATATGTCATTGTATTTGTTCATCTGCTACAATCCTATAAAGGATTAACATTTATTCTTCCCCACTTGTAGAATTCACTCTTTAATCCTTTGCAATCCAGTTCCCTATTCCATCTTTCATTGCTTTCTCCAAAATTACTGCTAAATTCAATGAACTTTATTCCATCCTCATCCTTCTTGATTTCTCTGCACCAACCTCTCTCCTCACATCTCCCCAGGCACCTTTTCCCATGTAGGCTTCTATAACACTACTCTTAGTTTTCCCATTTGTCTGAAGGCTGTGACTCCGTCTCCACTGCCAAATCACTTTCTCTTGCTCTCTAAGTGAGAACATTCCCCAAGGCTCTGTCCTGGACCGCCTTCTCTCTTGACACTCTTCCTTGTCAATATCTTCTTGCTCTCATGGGTTCAATGATTTCTATGTAGATGACTACCAAGTCTATATCCATTTTTAATCTCTCCTTACCTTCATCCCCACTTAAATGTCCGATAACATCACACACTCAACATGTCCAAAAAAGGGTGCTTCTTTTCCCTAAAATCATCCCTTCTCCTAATGCCCCAATTTCTATTGATGGCATCATCATCTTTCTACACTCATTTGATTCTTTCCTTTCTCTGAATCTCTATATCCAAATACCAAGTTCTGTCAATTCTAGTTCTCTATCACTGTTCACATCCTACTTCTTTCCAATTATTCACAAAGGTTTTATCTATCCTAGTACAGAATCTTATCAACTCTCATTTGGACTACTACAACAGCTTCCTCCTAAATTGTCTACCTGATTCCAGTTTCTTCCCTCTTTAACCCATCTTCCATACAGCTGCCAGATTGATAACCCAAAAACACAATAATCATGACCCATCCCTTACTTTAAAAAATCTTCTGTGGCTCCTTATTGTTTCTAGAATAACACATGATTACTTCAGCCTGGCACTTAAAGCCCTCTACCTATCTTTCCAGTCTTCTTGAACATTTGTCCCCTTCACATACTCTCCACCCTTGCAAAGTACTCAGCTAAGCTATTCCTCAAACATAATATTGTATATCCTACCTTGTCTCTCTTCACCATGACCAATGTGAGAATGTGTTTCGCTTAACTACAAATATTTATTACAAGTTTTTTTTTCTTTTCAATATGAGGGATGGAGAGAGAAAGAAAATAAATGCTTATTCATTGGGGGGGAAAAAAACCTATTGCTACCTTAATTCATCCTCTATACAGCCACCTAATAACAATGTTACTCCCTACTTAAACACCAGTGACTCCCCTTTTCCTTTAGTATCAAATATAATCTCCTCTATTTGGCATTTGAATTAAGTTAAACCTAGCTATAAGATGTGCCCATCTTCATGAAAACGAATAATACTGCTATTAGCAAATTCCCTCAAATTAAAATTTTTGATCCTTTCTTAGAGACAAGGAATTAAAACAAAAACTCCCAAATCTTTTTATTCATTAATGAGCAATATGATTTCGAAAATAATGTAAATACCAATGAAATAATTATCTTACCTGCCATCCTCATGTTTGTTTTTCAGTCTATGGCACTATTTCATTAAATAAGCATCCTGAAACAACCAAACAAATCATTAGACCTAAATCAGCATAATTCTTTAAAAGGTACTATTTTCATTTTTAATTAAAATTCAAAGATCTCCTAATAAATGCACTACAGATTTTTTTCCTAAGCATTTTACTCACTGACACTACTCATAAAAAAACAGTTTCACATTAACTTTTATTAGGTTATTTTAATTAATTCATAACATGTATGTATTAACTACCCACAATTTTAAGATTGTTTACAGTTATAACACTTTTGGAAATATACAGGACTTTACACACATTATCTCATTTGATTTTTCTCCCCCTACTTATTATCGATGCCTCTATATTAGTCATTTTCTCCTATGTAATAAAGAAAAATAGTTAAGGATAATTGGGTGGCAAAGTAACTTATATGCTGCATTTTATACCCATAGTTGCCCAGTTCTCAGTGAAAATGAGTAATATGGCTACACCTTCTGCACTCTAGAGCCAATATTGTTCACTACAATTAATTCTGAGTGTAGTTCTAGTATTATTTTTCATTAACAGTAATGTAATCATTGTATTGTCCTGCTTTCTTCAGTCTGCTCTTCGAGGCTCCCCATGATTCTTTGAAATCATTTATCCTGTCATTTTTTAAAATAAAAACACTAATATTCAATTATATTCAAATACCATGACTATTCAGCTCTTCCCCAACTTAGGGGCCCTCACTTTGTTTTCAATTTTTATATAATTTAACATTTGGTTAAAAGAAACCATTAAGAATTTAACAGCTTTCAGATATCTAAATTTTAGTGTGTTATCTTACTCATATCCTTGCTATCCTGAGAAAGAAATTTTTAGAACTAGGAGGAGGCTAGGAGATCACCTGGTCTAATGTCTTCCTTTTACAGATTGGGGAAATTGAAGCACAAAAGGATTTGCTGTACTACTTAAACCTAAAGTTGGGACTAGTCAGGTCTCTTGACTTCAACCCAGGCAAAGATCTTCACTTTTGGTGATAAAAAATTTCAGATGTTTACTGATGTGCTTCTCTCTCTCTCCATACACATACATATACATACACATACACATACACACACACACACACACACACACACACACATACACACATTATCTTTTCCATAGACAGATTTAAGGTGTATGTCCACTTGGACAGGAAAAAGAAAGTACATCTTTATTTCAATATAATTAGTTTCCTTTGTGCTTTAATGTATTTTGTTTTATTCATTTCAAAACATTCTGAGAAGGGTCCTTAGGCTTCAACAGACTCCTAAAGGACTCTATGACACACAAAAAAGATTAAGAGCCTCTGAACAAAAACCTTGTGCAAGGTGGCTGACTCCTAAAATCAACTCTATATTATTTGTACTACTGGAAAAAGTTGTAACACAGATAATCAAGAAACAATTTCTATGAGGTTCCACAATGAATTTGGGGTATTAAAATTTTAGTATGGCCATATGTTCTAGAAATTCATAACCATTAAAATTTAAGGAAGACTTGATGAGGGACTTGGGGAAAAAATAGGAACTGGTCTCCTGAGACTATCCTAGAGAAGCATCCCCCCACCCCAAATGATATTAAAAGCACCTGTTTACTATGATTCAATCCAAGAGGGAAATTGTTTTGCTTCCTATCCCACTACCATATACTTATAAAAGAGTTCTGGCTGTGGAAAAGCTGGCAGAACATTAAAAAGAGAGAATGCTAAATAGTGCCTACAAATGTCTATACTCACAATACTTGATCTTAGCCAAAAGGTCAAGAAGCAATTACTGATAATGATTTTCTTTTAACTCAAAAGAAAAATTATGCTATGGTAATCATATTCTTTTGCTCAACTATCTTAGCCACAATATTTATTTTTTCCAAACTCAACTACACAAAAAATGAAGTTTGACTTGAGAAAAAGTAGAAAAAAATAGGATTAAGGAAGAAAAAAACTTACTTGAACTTAATGCATAGAAAATTTGATTATACATGTACACAACACTATACTACATTGGATATTAAGGGAGATATAAAGATTTTAAAAAATTGTGTCTTCATGGTGCTCCTAATCTAAGGGAAAGATATAACACAAATAAGTATAATACAAAGAAAGCCAAATTAAGCGCCATGTGGTCAGAGAGGAATAAAGATCATTACCAAGTGGAGGAATCAAAGAAGGCTTCCTAGAAGAGGTTGAAGCATAAGTAGAATTTCAAGGTGGAATGGAAAATGGCATTCCAGTACCGTGAGAAAGAATAGTTGAGGGGACTACAATATCATCCGTGGCATTAATTAAAGCCTCTTCTAAAGGTGTTGGCAAGTGGACTAAAGAAGAGACGGATACAAGAGATCATAAAGGCAACAATGAACAAAACTTGGTAATATACTGGATACAAGAAAGAAGAAAGAGAGAAAAGATTCAAAGATAATAAAGGAAACAGACAAGAGATTCAGGCTTTTGTTATTAAGTAGCAATCAAACTCTTCAAGACCCCATTTGTGTTTTGTTTTTTTCCTTTGCCAAAGATATTGGAGTGGTTTGCCATTTCCTTCTCTAGCTCATTTTACGGAGGAAGAAACTGAGGCAGAGTTAAGTGACTTGCCCAGGGTCACACCGCTAGTAAGTATCTGAGGCCACATTTGAACTCAGGTCCTCCTGACTCAGGGTTGGCACTCTCTCTGCTGCACTACCTAAGTGCCCCATACAAGAGATTACAAAGATAAGTTCAACAAAACTAGATAATATGCTGGATATAAGAAAGAAGAGAGAAAAGACTGAAAGATAACAAAGGTTTCAAATACATGACAATGTCATTGGAAGAAATAGGAAAGCAGAAAAAAGAACCAATTTGGGAATTATTTTGATATTTATAAAAAAATAAAGTTTCATGAATTACTACCATTTCATCAGCAAATAATAAGTTGTTTTCCTAGATACCTCTCAAAAGTGCCCAAAGTATGGGAGTCAGTCATCTCAGAGTACTCAAACACTTCAACTAATATAATTTTAGGGTAGAAAGGTAAATCAGTGTCCATCTATCCAAAATCTTCATTTTATAGATGAGAAAAAAAGGTTCAGAGCAGTAGTGATTTGCTACATAAGAAACCTAGGTTTGGTCAGTCACAGGACTCAAGTATCTCCTGACTCACTCCAATACTCTTTACATTGCGCAATGCTGACTCTGCCAGGGAAAGACATACACTTAAAAAAAAAATTATAATGTTTAGAAAACTAACTTATTAAACTATGTTAAGAAATGATTTTTATAAAACAAAACCAATCTATCAGTTTCAGCTTTAAGATTAAAGCTCAAGTTTGCCTCAAGATCTCTGATTTTGTTGGTCTAGGTAGGCCCTCCACACACATACAATTCTCAAAGCCACTGCAGGTTGGTAGAATCTGCTAGAGGTTGCTGGCATAGTTTTGGAGACCTCAACATCATACCTTGAGGCACAATGAAACATCAGAACAAGTCTCAAATACATTATTACAAAATAGTGAAAGTAAGTGCTAGGGACTAAATCCAAATTGCACAGGGTTAAGAGGTGAATGAGTGGAAAGGATATAAAGGAACTGGGCTTAGACTATGGATTTCAGTGAAAAGAATGAAATACAGGACAGCAGCTTGATGGGGTAAAACAATCAAGAAAAAAGGGAAGGAGGGGAGAGAATAAACATTTATTAAGTGCTAACACTGTGATGTGTCAGGCACTTTACAAATGTTATGTCATTTGATTCTTACAACCCTGGAAGGTAGATTTTATTACTAGCTCCATTTTATAGATAAGGAAACTTTATTTAAGTTTAAGTCATTTGCCCAGAGTCACACAGCTGGTGAGGTCATATTTGAACTTAGTTCAGTCTTTTTGACTCCAGGTCTGGCAGTCTTATCTACTACACCACTTAGATGTCTAACTTTTTTTAAGGCAGGGAAGAGCAAAGTACGTTTACAGGCAGGTGTAAAGGAGATATTAGAAATGTTATGAGTGAAAGAGGAAAAGGGCAAGGTTCTAGAGGCAGGAAGGAATGGTGTCGGTAAGCACAGAGAGTTCTTCGTTTGGAATAAAAAAAAAATCTAGATTCAAAAACTCCTTCTGTTACCTGTCTAACCTTGGACAAGATATCTAACCTTGTGCTTGCTTCGGCAACATATATACTAAAATTGGAATGATACAGCGAAGATTAGTATGGCCCCTGCACAAGGATGACACACAAATTCGTAAAGCATTTCATCAAAAAAAAATTAATCTCTCTAGGCCTTAATTAATTACCTCATCTTTAAAATGAGGGAGGTTGGACTAGAAAGCTTGTAAATTTCCTTCTAGCTCTAAATCTATGACAATTTGTAATGTAAAAATATACCTTATTGCTTAAGTGAAAAATTACCTACAATTACGTTAGAGGCAACTAGATGATGCAGTGGATAGAATATTGGACTTGGAGTTAGGAAGAGGCCAGTTCAAATATGGTCTCAGTCTCTAGATGCGTAACTTTAGGCAAGTCATTTAACTTCAGATTCATGTTTCCTCATCTGCATAATGCGGATAATAACAGCATCTATCTCTTCCAAGGTTGCTGAGAGGATCAATTGAGATAATGTTTGCAAAACTTACTGTTATTTAAATGCTAACTTTAAAAAAGGTTCCATGGGAGACACAATGATATTTCAAATGAAAAAAAAAATCACTTCTGATCACCGTCATCAGGTAACTTTGAGACAGATACATAGTGTATCAGCAAAACAGGTCACATTTTTGGGGGTGGAAGAAATTTTGTCCCTAAGAGAGCCAGTTTCTAATCCTATTTAGACATTCAAAAAACATTAATTCAAACCAAAAAATTAATCCCTAATTTGAATAATACCTAGCAAGGGAGAATAAAGTAGTATAGTGTTATCTTAGAGTCGATTCCTTTTAGTTCACAAAGAATAAAATGTTAGGATTTGGAATAATTATACAGTGATTAATATTTCTAAAATGGTCAAAGTAGAAAAAGGTCAAATCTTGTTAAAGCTCTTTTAATT